CAGCCATAAGATACTCTGAAGCATTGGAGGGAGTCTTTGGGGGAAAGCGTGACCTTTCAGTAACTGCAGAACACATGGACAATTGATGCCCCCAGAAAACAATCTGAAGCCACATTTAATTGTTTACTTTAAGATTTATGCCTTGCTTTTCCCAATAGCTTAGAGGAATTTACAACAAAGTGAAAATCACATTACATCATTTTTAGTGCTGAAATTAGGCAGACCTATGCCCATGCCTGCATAGACCACCATTTGGGAGACCTACACAAGCCAGTAGAGCTCTTTGGAGTGAGAGCAGAGTAAGTGTGGTGAACAATTAACTAAATAGATATCTGTGGTGATCAATCAAGCATCAGTTGTGATGTAGGCTGTACTGCTGAGTTTTGTCAGGATCAGGTGTCCATAGCAGAATCAGAAAAAGAAGATTCCAGAAAGAGCTGCTCAGCACTACTGGGCAGTCTGATCCACCAGTCAGTTTGCTGCCTGTTCCCACACCCATTGCTGCTAGGAAGCTGCGAGGGAAAACAAAGGCAATGAGGCCTCTGAAGCATCCATATTATTTTCACTTGTGCCTCAACTCTCCTTAATGTATCAGGCAGGAATGGTGATCCACAAGGACTGCTCTATGCTGTATGCTGCTGTTTCTATGATGCCTAAATTGGCATCTTGTGCTTAGCCAAAAAAGGAGAGTTTCCAGCCATTCTTCTGTATAGTATTAATATGTAAAATTAAGCATTTGAAGTTATAATGACATTGTTGGGGGAAAATTTCACCTGTTCCAATAATATTATGGTGGTTAAGAAAATGCATTCTGAAATCTACCAAAAAAAGAAGTCTGTAAAAAAAAAAAAGACAGTCTTTCAAGATTAACCAACAGTGTATAAAGGTATATATTTCTGTATAGTGGCAAGATTTTCTGATGCTGCATGATACTTATAGTGGACCATAGAGTCTGGCTAAATAAATCCTTTCATCTTTTCTGATTTCTGCACTTTTGTTCTACCTAGAATTCAGAGGAGCAAATGATCATTTTATGGGTCCATTCAAATAAGCTGTCCCCACTTCAGTGCAGAAAGACCCATCCAGGACACTGATGACAGCAAGAAACAGGCTTGAATCTCTTGATTATAAGAAGATGGGGTGGAGTTGTTTTCTTTTGCCCCAGAAGGTTGGACCAGAACCAGTGAATTGAAATTAAATCAGAAGAGTTTTTGGCTAAACATTAGAAAGAACTTCCTGACAGAGCGGTTGGGCGGTTCCTCAGTGGAACAGGCTTCCTCGGGAGGTGGTAGGCTCTCCTTCTTTGGAAGTTTTTAAACAGAGGCTAGATGGCGGTCTGACAGCAATGCTGATTCTGTGAACTTAGGCAGATCATGAGACGGAGGGCAGGGAGGGTTGCATTAGTGCTTAGTTCTTGTGGCCCTTTCTTACATGCCCAGGGAAATGCTGATCACCTCTTTGGGGTCAGGAAGCAATTATTCTCCAGGCCAGTTTGGCCAGGGATCCTGGAGGTTTTTTGTCATCTTCTGGGCATGGAACAGGGGTCACTGGGAGTGTGTAGGGGAGGTATTTGCAAATTTCCTGCATTGTAGAGGAGGTTGGGCTAGATGACCCTGGAGATCCCTTCCAACCTGGGCCGGCTTGCTCACTAGGCATACTAGGCTTTCGCCTAGAGCAAGCCAGCCCTAGGGGGCACCAAACTGCACCCCCCCCCAGACAGGGCAGCAGCAGCTTCACCTTTGACGACCATCTCCCGGGTGGGTGGGGTGGCTCCCCTTCGGCAACAGGGTGTGGAGCAGCACCTCCACCCCCTCGGGCAGGGCCAGGGGCGTGGAGAGGAGGCCAATGGCACAGCACTCCCAGCGGGATAAGGGGCTGCACAGGGCCTCCCAGGCGGCATCCAGCGTGGAGCCCGCAATCCGGGGAGGGGGCCCATCGCCACTGCCCTCCTCCTCCTCCGCCCTCCACTGAATGCCCAGCAGGACATTGCAGGCAACAGGCCCTGCGGAAGGGCACCGAGTCCCACAGGGCACTGGCACTGGAGACCAGGCTGAGCAGAGCGATGGAACAGACAACCCCCCCCCCCAGCCCCCAGGGTGGTTCAGGAAATCCTCCCGGCTCCGCTCCTGGGCAACCGAGGCAGCAGCAGAGGTCCAGAGAGGCACTTCGCGGAGTGACCCACAGGCGCACTCCTCCGCCATCAAAAATGGAAGGAGACGCTGATGACCAGGAATGGACCCCCCTGTCGGCGGAGAAACCCGGCCCTGCCCTCAAGGTGGGCGCCACAAGGCAGCCTCACTGGCGGGGGGGGCTGCTAGTTTCACCTAGGGTGCCGAAAAACCTCGGGCCGGCCCTGCTTTCAACTCTATGATTCTAAGATAATAATGACAGTACAGTTCACAATTAACATCTTCAGCAAAAGCCCCATTAAAATGAGCAGGAGTTTCACAAGAGATTATTTCCATAATTTATGCCCCACTCTCATCGAACATTGCTATAAAATGGTATCAGATTACAACTAAAAACACAAAAATTATAAAAAAGGCCAGAAAAGCCTTGAGAACAGCATAAAAATGGGGGACAATAAAACCAACAATTTGGGACAATTATAACAGGTTACTATTGCACAAAACTTATAAAAATCAGAAGCATCTAACTAAGCTGGAAAGACAAGAAGAAGAAAAAAACAGAGCAGCTGAAGAGGAAGGAATACTTGTGGCATCAGCCATCCTTTACTGTTAATATAAGAAGCTGAGTTCTGTTCCTGCCAATGCTGGCTATTTAACAAGATCACAGAAAGGGTGCTTGGCTTCAGTAAAAGAGATGTTCCAGAAGAGGCTCATCTTGGGTTTCATGTTAATTAAAAAATTAAACTATAGAAAAGTAAAGAGAACACTTTCAGTACAACTTTTATGGTTTATTTTCTATCATTAAATGTATAAAAAGGAGAATTTGAATAAATGAGGGACATTGACTGGTAAAAATTCTGTCTGTGCAGACAAATAAATAGTTATTTACAGTCTTTGGCAAAACAAAAGGTAAGTTTTGTTGCTGTCTCTCGCTCACACACTCACACACACACTTGCAAAAACAAAAAATCATAAATAATTTACATAGTATAGGCAAGTATAGTACAGTCTAAATATTAACATCTTAGTCCCAACACTGGTCTTGTCTTTTTATTCAAAGGAAACATAGCCATTACAGAAATGAAATCCCCTTCAATTCATCTATGGAACCTTGGGTTACATTTTAAAAATAATAAATCACAGAAACACCTCCAACAAATAAAAAACATATCTCATAAAGAAGACTTTCAAAATGTTAATATGGCAAAACTAATAATGTGCAATAAAGTCAGAAACTGTTGATTCTTTATAAAGGTATATAGCATCAAATTCTATTTAAAAGTTTGTTTTTAAAACAGCTGAACTTGAATAGGCTCATCGTATCCCCAAATAAGGCAAGAGATTGTCACTGTGATGCTGTGGGTATAGCAGTTCTCATGCATTCCTGGAGCCTCCATGCATCCCCCTAGGCTGCCTCATTCACTTCAGTTGTGCAACAAGCACCACTCTGGGCAAGCATCCCTTTGTATGAGAGCATATTGCCCATATGCACACATATTCTAGCCCCCTCATCCTGCTAGAGGCTTCCATGTGTATAGCCTTGGCTGGATGGGGAAATCTTGCATATAGTTTCCCAACCGAATACATCAGTCAGGGTTGTATATGCACAGTAAAGTGAAAAACTAAGCAGAACTGGATTCCAACCTAGCAGATAGGTCCCCTTCCCTTTGCTAAACAGTTGATACCAGCTTTTCTTTTTAACACAGCTGCACATGTACAAGCCTAACTTATGCACATTCTGTGGGATCAGGACCCATGTGTGTTGCAATATGCAGTATGCACAAGGCTCAGGATCAAGATGATTGTCCGTCTCTTATAAATCTCAGCCATGAATAGAACTACAACTCATAGGCAAAGTGTTAAATATTTCCATATTATTGTGTACTTGAATAAATGTTGTATCTGGATAGAATAAAGGCTGGCATATCTTCAGCATAGTTTTCCTTAACACTCCTATATACAGCAGACATACATAAAACTTTTTTTTAATGGGGGCCTTGGTATATATTACAGTTCTCCTTATAGGGTCTCAGTTGGTTACAACTTGCACAATTCAGGGAGTCTTAAAATTATTATAATATACAATCACACAACCAAGTACATTCATACCTACAGACTGTACCATTAACTGTGTTCTATAGCTATGTTCTTTGAGAGGTTTCATTGCTAATGTGCTCTCTGGTAAGCTTCACAAATAAATTACTTCCAAACATAGCTGCAAATTATAATAATAAATAGCACTGATACCCTTATAACTGCATGTTACCAAGTTTGATAATGGTAGCATTGCCACCTTCTCAAAAACCCAAATCAAGGTATCAAAGTGCTTGTTGCAGCAGTATTGGGAAAACAGGTCTCCTCTGAATGTTCTATGCACACAAATAATTCTTCAAAAATGGTATAGTCATAGAAATGTTTTTACTGCTAAAGCAAATGAAGTTCTTAGTAATGCCTTTCTTCCAAAAGGAGATACTGAGAAGTGTTTCACACTCCGTGACAGGTTTGCCACTTGTCTGGTAGCAGAGCAATCTTAAGCAAAGTATAACCTTCTAAACCCACTACATTCTTCTGAGCAGGCTGTAACTTTGAGCCAAACTAAATGTTAGCTGTAGGGAATCACTTCTTTAAAAAAAGAAAAGCCCAATTGGACTTGGAACGGCACTGTGGGGGGAGAACATAAGAACATAAGAACATAAGAGATGCCAATGTTGGATCAGGCCAAAGGCCCATCCAGTCCAACACTCTGTATCCCACAGTGGCCAGAAATACCAGTGCCATCAGGAGGTCCACCAGTGGGGCCAGGACATTAGAAGCCCTCCCACTGTTGACCCCCCCAAGCACCAAGATGACAGAGCATCACTTGCCCCAGAGTCCCTATCTATACCTTGTGGCTAAAAGGCTTCCCCCCTCCTGGCTGTTTCATATTGTGAAACCAACAATTTCACATTGTGAAACAGCACTGGGGGATCATTTCCCCATTTCTGTTGCTCCATGTGGAGTATCTGTGCTTGTCGAGCAGCTTCAGTGGGGAGGCAGGAGCCCTTCTTCCCTCCACAGCACCATTCCAAGCCAATTTGGGCTTTCCTTTTTTTTAGACGCCTTTGCCTGAGCCGCTATGCAGCTGTAGAGTATATGAGCTGGGTCCAGAGAAACTGGATCCAACTCCTTAAAACAGTAATGTTTAATTTGGCCCTTTTCTTAAGACTGCACTGAATAAATGTGTAATGTTTCAGGAGTTTAAAACTCACAATGGCCAAGCTCTACATACTCTTCCATACAATCATTAGTGCTACATTACACAGCATAAAGTGAAACTCTGGTTATGGATCTGAGACATAAGAGGAATGTAAATTAAAACTGGAAAAGTGTAAATTGGACAAGAGGAGCCCATTTTTTAAAGAGTGATTCATAAACCATTTTTGTTGAGTCCATCCAGTACAGTCCTATTAAAGTCAATAGAACAGCTAGAGAGAATGTTGATTATGTGATGTTGGAAGGATTTCATGCAGTACTGGTTTGTTCATGAAGCCAAGTGGAAGAATTTCGTGTATACATACACACACAAAGAATTTTCATGTTAGGGTTATTTTATGACAACCCTGCTCTCCACCTTGTGGGATTGGTGAATGAATACTGAAGTCTTAAAAGTCATTTCTATGAACTAGACTGGTGGATTCATTCAAGGAAATCCACATTACTGGATGAACAATTCTGAAATAACATTCTCAAGTGTATGCCTCCATAAAAATACTTGCAAATTCATTCTCATATACTAGAATTAATATCAGACCTAAAGATTCCTTTGGGATGCCCAGCTGTACTGTTGAAATTCAAAAACAAAAGCCATATAATACCTCTTACAAGAGCAAAACAAAATGTTGCGTTAGTATTTGTTTTTGCAAGAGGGAGCTCTATTCTAAAATCTCCAAGCACGATACCTTTGAAAAATCATAACATTTTAAGGACATTAAGCCACCTTCTTGTTTGGCCCTGCCATATTTTCTAATGGCTTGTTAATTAATGAGAGTAGATAGTTTGGTCCTTCCTAATTTTGCTGAAATTGATCTCCTAGACTTCATGGTACCAAGGCCCAGCCCTGATCTGAGATAGTAATGTGGACTTCTTAAGAAGTTGCTTTTTCTCCTTTACTTGATGTAAGACCCCCCCCCTTCTCCCATATTTATATAAATACATTAAGTATTAAAGTATTTTAAATACATTAAGTGCTTTAAATGTAAACACCATTTTTAAACAATGAACAATGTGTCTGCCATATTTTCCATTCTACATATCAATCTGCTCTTACTTCAGCGGTGGATTCAATGCTCACATTAAGGCCCTGCCAGTCCATGCTCTTCAAAGGCACTTTTGATCGGATTAGAGGCATCTCTTCTGGTGGCATGGAAGTAGAAAGTCAGGGGAATGAGCCAAAAGGAGAGATGAAAGGAGAGTGAGGGGCTTGAAGTACCAGGATGTACAGAGGTGTCTAGGTTGAATAGCATCTACAGTACTTTGTTGATTATGCAACACCCTTAGCTCAGACATCTGCAACAGAGCAAAGCAATTGGTTAGTATGACTGACATATTTGTAGAGCTGTACGGTAAACACTGAACACAAAAAAGGTCTGGCATATTTATTCATTCTCTCCACATATGAGACTCAAAGAGGCTAACAAAAACCATAAACTATCAGGACACAGCAAGAGTATGCAATGAAAATCACCATAAAACTGATATGCACCAATGAACTGTAATCACATTTGCATCCTGCCCTTCTATCAAGAAGTTCAGGGTGGCCATTTCATCTTTACAATAATTATGAGCTGCAGGATGAGATAAAAGATACTAGTTTACTGAAGAATTAAGCAGGAGCCCAGGGACACTTTAAAGACTGGCAGAATTTATTCCAGCATAAGCTTTCACAAATCAGAGGTCACATTATTAGATGAATGCATGGACTCCTGTTCAATTTTGCTGTAACAGACTAACAAAGCTATCTATATGACTTGCTGAAGGACAGATAAACTTAATGGTTGCAATAGAATTTGAACAGGTCTCCCCAGTCCATCACCCTCAACTTTTTCTCTTGCAGGTTCTTGCTTCTTTTTTACTTTGCTACATTTTCTATAGTTATATAAAGATTTGAGAAAACACTTAGCATTATACTTAGGACCTCCTTTGTCAAACATGACAATCTCAATTCAGATGGGTTTGCTAAGTAGCCTAAAGTCACTAGTACGGAAAATATTTTCATAAGCCTTGCCTGCAAACAACTATGGCAGCTATTTCTTGTGGTTGTGCCCACCAGCCTGTGCTAGCAGGCTAAAAAGGGTTGGGGACCCTTATGTTAAAAAATTTGGAAAAGTTCAATGCAATTAAAAGGACCTGATAGCGGTATTAGGGATAATGTTAATGATTCTGAGGGCTGATTCACACATGCACATTCATTACTTGATGACCACAAGATCAAGCAATGATTTGCAAGTGTGGGTGAGTCAAAGCACAGAAGAAAAAAATGATGGTGTTGCAGAAAAAAGATATTATATTTTACTGAACATTGATGCCATTCCCCCTTTTTTGCACAGACAGAACATTGAGATCATTCATTGGCTCATGACTGTACTTTGTCCATTACCTCAGTTCATATATGCAGCTGAAAACACTCAATTATATGGCATCGATAAGATTACTATTTTTAACTAGCATGTTTCCATATCCATTAGAATCTTCTTCTACAGGTTATACATTTTACACGTGAAAGAATTTTCCAAATTCTCTTTGAAGCTGAGCCATTCAAGGATCATACACATATAATCTTATGTATCAACTTACCTCTACATTCATACTTGAGGTCAGAGAAATATACCATCTCTTGTGAAAACACAAAAAGACCTAACCGCCCACCAGCATAGGTGTTGTCATAGATTGGTCCAGAATCTGCCATGATCTGCTTCCCTTCATATACTAATACCCTGTGAAGGAAGGATACAATGTAGGTCAAACATGGTGCTTGAAATCACATTTAATCTTTCTAGGTGCAAGGACATAAAAACATAAGAGAAGCTAATGTTGGATCAGGCCAATGGCCCTTCCAGTCCAACACTCTGTCACACAGTGGTCAAAAATATCAGGTGCCATCAGGAGGTCCAGCAGTGGGGCCAGGACACTAGAAGCCCTCCACTGTTGCACTCCCCAGCACCAAGAATACAAAGCATCACTTGCCCCAGAGTCCCTATCTATACCTTGTGGCTAATAGCCACCGATGGACCTCTGCTCCATATGCTTATCTAATTCCCTCTTGAAGCCGACTATGCTCCTGTGGCAGTGAATTCCAGCCTAAGAGTAAATGTGGTGTTACTGTTCCAAACATGTTTCAAAGACACATGACTTCTAGCACATGGTCCACTCTACAAATCCTCTTGACACCAACCAACTTGGCCAGCTGCCACAGTGAGCCTTCCCATACCCTACTGATGATACTCCATAAATAATTCCAGAAACACCATGTGCAGTTTCCCAGTTCGTTTTAATGCAAGCCTAACTGGTGTTGAGAAAGAACTGATGCTGATGTATCTTGTGCATCTATAAGCAATCACATATTAGATGAGAGATCTAGCTATATAATTTAACCGTGACTTATCTCATTATATCACCAAAAAAGTATTAAATATTTCAATAAATTTGCCCTTTCACAGTAGAAGGTACAAATGACTGAAGGAAGGTCATACACACAAGTTGCAGAAACGACTCCATAGCCTCAGAGCACATTGTGTGATTTCTGACAACATATGCTATAATGTGCTTCAGCTGAAAGGGATAACTATACCATTGCAGATAAGTCCTAACTTTAGACAGTTATAGCAATTCTGTGCAAAATTACTCCAATCTAAGCCCACTGAAATCAAAGGCACAGGACTGTTAGTAGCTGGGCTTAGCAATTAAAACCCAAAAAGCCATGCAATCCATGTAATACCTTTTATTAAGACCAGCCCAATGACATATAACAGTATGCAAACTTTTGAGTTCCCCAAAACTCTTCATGTGCCAGATGCCACAGAATTTTAAAAGACTGAATGCTAGCACTCCATCTTGTTTTTAAAATGTTTAAATGTTCTGAATGTTTAAAATATTGTGTGGGGGGGTTGTTTTAAGTTATTAAACACTGTATTGAACCAAATTGTTGTGATTCAAAAATTCTAATTTAATAAAATAAAAAAATAAAAAATGAAGGTCATCATGATCTTAAGACTCATGCCAGGATATGATGGAATTTCTGGCATGCAAAGGAGATTTAGATTTCAGGCGGCTGCTGTCCTGGAGCCATAAAATCAAGAGGCAATAAAACAACTGGACTCCATAGCAACAGTTCCTTCCAATGTTCCCTTCTCCCCTTTAATCAGAGAGACTTCAGTCTCTTTTTGGAAGAGAAAGTAGCCATTGGTTGAAAGTCATTGTATTCTCAGGAGATAGATTTACAATGTTGTGAGGTATATATAGTCAACTGAAGCCAAATTACATAGTCATTGCATTGAAAAGCGATTAAAAAAAACAGCGTAGACATTTCATTGTCGAAGGCATAAGACCAGAATAGAACCACTCTGGTTTTTGTTGAGTTACTGGGGGGTTTCTACAAGAGTGCTTTGTCTCTGCTCCTTCGCAAGTAGTAGTGGCTAGATGCTGGAGCATGAGAAAACATAAAACAGTCAAAGCAGACCTGATTTAATGTGGGAGAAACCCATAGCAGTACTGCTCCTGGCACAGTATAGATGAATGGTAACAGAATAGCATATGACTCCAAACCAAGGAAAGTCAGCCATGCTTAAGGCCCACTGAAAACAATGGGACAAGCTAACTGTAACTAAATTTAAGTTGCATTAAACTCAACAAGTCAGAAGCATAACTCGTATTCATTGGATCGGGGTCACCTTGTCTGTGTAATGTACATAGTGGACACAGTGCTGACTCATGAGGATTGGATGCACATCAGAGGGTACCTGACTCCTGAAAAAATTGTTAGTTACTCTGAGTCAATTGAGAAGTAATTACTAACCATTAAAAATGTGAATGGTTCTAGCCTGGCAAGTCAACATTTCTTAGTGGTGCAGAGGTTACATGGGAGAACAGGATGTTAGATAGTCTCGGTTATGTTTATGAAGTACAGAGCTAAGATACAACCAAAGAAGCGGAGTAGTCTATCCCTAGCTCGGTTTCTTCTGCATCCAAATAAAAAGTATGACATTTCAGGCAAACAGCCAGTATGCCATATCCTAGAGGCCTGTTCAGATTACTTCTCCTCCTTGGTGTAGGCGAGACTAAGAGACTGGTATACCATATCAAGCAGAATTGCTGACTACTCTGTTTGCATTCATGGTGCTGTTTCTGTATGTTCTCTGCAAGTGCTTTTACAGTGTCAGGATATTACAGTTCAGTACAACCAGAATCAGTGTAGACATGCAAAAATAGCATGTGAAATACCCCACCCTGACTTTAGACTGCAAGTCCAGTAATCATGTATTTTAATGCTCCCCGTTGATTGTTTTTTTAAAAAGCCCACTGAATTTGTGAAGCTGACATTATGCAGGTATTTTTAATTTGGAGTACCACCCAAACACATGACCTATGGTATGTTCTAGGAAGGCCAGCATCATACCCTATTTCCTAAATGCCTGAATCAGCCTTACGGGCTCATTCACTCTGGACTTTCCCCTAGGTAAGGTAAAGGTAAAGGTTCCCTTGCTCGAAAGTCAGTCGAATCCGACTCTAGGGTTGCGGTGCTCATCTCCGTTTCAAAGCCGAAGAGCCAGCGCTGTCCGAAGACGTTTCCGTGGTCATGTGGCTGGCATGACTAAACACCAAGGCGCACGGAACGCTGTGCTAGTGGCAACTCAAGACTCTAATGGGTTTATTGCAGTACAAGCATGTGTAGGCAGCAGCCTACTCTATTTTTTGTCATTGCCTGTAAGAGCTCTTATGCCATAATAGTTTTCACAGTGCTCTGCATTGTTTCCAATAAGGAAAAGCTTAGTCAGTTTTGCCAACCACCTAGCAAACCTTTGTTTGAATTATTTTTTTCATTCAAGTTCAAACAACACCAAGAAGAAAAATTCCATCTTTCGATCTTCTTTTTAGCTTTGCTTTGATATTTCTCTCCCTTCCCCACTCTCAAGTTTGGGTTATTCCAGAAAAAATAATCCCTTTCCAAGAGTTTGAGGTATTATTTTTTTAATTTAATTATGGATTTGTTTCTCTGAAGCATTTCAAAAGAAATTGAACACATCTGAAGGGGAAAGTACCCTGTTGAGTATTGTCTCAAATCAACCAGCAACAAGCAGACACACTGTCGTGACCCAAGTGACAGCACTGGAATTTGCTGACAAATCACTAAATAAAATCTCATTTTATGATCAGATGGAAAAGAAAAACCAGCTATTACAAAGGATGTCTTACTTTATTAATCCCGTCTTGGGCCTGTGGATCAAATGCCACCTGTAGGCAGTATAATCTTTCCAGCCAATATTCTTAGGGTCATGCCACAGGGTGCGCACCTGAGATAGGGTTTAAAACAGTTCAAATTAAAAATAGAAACCTTGTGTATAACAAAACATGTAAATATATACTGATGGGGTTTGAACTAGCATTATTTGGGGTTTATTCCCCTTACTTAAATGCATAGCCCCACACGATTTTCTGCCAGTAGTTGACCAAGAATGAGATCTGGAGGTTGAAGAGCAGACAGCTTGATGAAAATGTCTATTCTGCATGAGGCAAGAAGCAATAGATCTATGGTGTGGCCAAATTTCAAGTACTGTGCATCATTTTGGTTCCTATATCTCAAAAATGATATTGTAGTGCTGGAAAGGGGGAACGAAAATGATCATAGGATTGGAGTTCCTTCCCTACAAGGTAAGACTAAGGAGTTTGGGTCTCTTTGTTTAGAGACCAACAAGATTTGGGGGGTATAAGCTGACAAGAGTCAAAGCTCTGTTTGTCAGGTATCTTGTTGCATGAAGCTTTGACTCTTGAAAGGTTATACTCCAAAACTCTTGATTGTCTCTAAGATGATACTGGACTCAGATCTAGTTGTTCTACTGCAGATCAACATGGCTACCCTCTGAAACTTATAACTGAGTTGTAGATCCTGAATGAAGGAAATAGGCGGCAAGGGTCAACTGCATATGAATTTGCCATCTATGAAGTCAAATCACTGCTCCATCTTTATTAGTAGCTCAGTATAATCTTCTCTAACAGGGGCTCACCAGGGTCTAAACTAAGGGTGTGCATGTTTTTTCTTTCTCTGTATTTTTTCAGTTTAGGTCTATTGGACCTAAAAAAAATTGGGATTCCCCAAAAAACCCAGATCTCAATATCAGTAAAGTATTTGGATCTTGTCGGAAATCCTAGATTTTTGGGGAGAGGGGTCTAATAGACCTGAACTGAAAAGCAGCGACAAAACCACTAAAAATGGCTGAGAGGCGGCTCAACTGGGCTCTTTTGGGTGGTCCCTTTAAACCAGACTGGCCAAACATCTGATCCTGCAGGGAGAACTCTCCCTATGGGTTCTGCTGGACAGCCTGGTTTAAAGCTCAACAGAGCCCAACCAGGAGCTGATCCTGTGGAGAGAACTCTCCCTGCAGGCTCTGCTGGGGCTCTCTTGGACAGCCCAGTTTAGACTGGACTGCCCAACAAAGCCTGCCCAGGAGCTTATCCTGCAGGGAGAACTCTTCCCACAGGCTCTGCTGGGGCTCTGCTGTGCAGCCCAGTTTAAACCAGACTGCCCAACAGAGCCAGCGAAGCAGCTGAACCTGCAGGGGGAACTCTCCCCAGAGGCTTGGCTGGGCAGCCTGGTTTAGACCAAACTGCTCAACAGAGCCCACCCAGGAGCCAGTCCTGTGGGGAGAGTTCTCACTTCAGGCTCTGCTGGGCAGCCAAATTTTATATTTGGGATTTTTAAGGGATTTTGTCCGGTTCTCCTGAAAAATCCCAGATACATTTGGGAAGCTGAAATATACCCAGAAAATACCGATAAGGATTGAAGAACCTCCGTAAGAAACAACAACAACTAAGACCCTGTCATGGGTGCCTGATAGGTAGTCCCTTCCCCTCATTGTGTGTGTGGCCCTAGTAAGGTAATATAATTAATAATTGTACAATGTAAACCGCTCAGAGCCCTTAGGGGGTGAGCGGTCTATAAATTGAAAGTTAAATAAAATAAAAATAAATAAATATTTTTGGTTTGGGTAGACCCAAATGTACACCCCTAGTCTAAACCACTTTCCTACCTCCTACTACTTAGATCAGGCAAGGCAGGATATAAGTTGAAATAAATAAATAAATAAATAAATAAATAAATAAATAATTTTATTTGTTGGTATCAAAGAATGAATCTGGGCCCTTCTGGATGCAAAGCATGTGCTATACCACTGACGAATAAACCCTCTCAATAGTGAGAAATGGCATATTAACAACTGTGGATTCTGAAGCTGAAGTATGACCTTATCCTTAGAGAGCCAGTACATTCTGCCCATTCCATTTTTTCTCTTACCATAAGGGATGACCAGAGCACATTTGTCACAGCTATCTTTCATCATGGCTAGTGGCCAAAAGGTCCACAGGATTCCACAGACAACTCCAGCCAGAGTTGCACAGTAAACCTTATATGGTATCCTTGTGCTACATTTCCCTGATAGGGAATGAAATGTGCAGCAGGAATTTGAGCCTGTATCTTCTATAGCTATATCAAATGCTATATCCACTGCAGCAATCAAAGTCTGACATATGCACTGACATATGCAAAGTCTGACATATGCACATCAGACATATGCACTGTAGGCTGCGTAAATCAAATCTTGTAAACTGTGCCCCAATTGTTTTTTAAAATTAGATTATATTATAATCACAAATTCAGGAAGACTGGGGTGGGGGTGGGGGCTAATACTGGCAAACCACTAACTGTAGTCTATTGCTATCTTATACCTGTCCGGGTGTGTTTCCGGTATGCCAAAGGGCATTTCTCAGATGTTCTCCAACACCAGTTGTAGAGTTTACTACTTTCAGTGACACTCCAGAGTAACCATAAGCTCTGGTGGGCTTGTCCTCCCAATAAGTCTGAGTAACTTGTTTCCACATCAGGACATAGAAGCGACTGCTGGACTGATAGCCAAAAACAAATCCAGCATAATCATCATCCCGATCTGTGTTAACGTAGAATGTACCACTGAAGTCAACAGAACTGAATTCATCATAACCTGGAGCAGGATGAAAAATGGTACAAGTATCAGGAGTTGTAGTCCTTTTGACAGTCTGGTGACATCTCCACCAGAAAGTCACTTCAATAATCTGATTGTAAAATGTCCTTACTTTGTCCACCTTCCAAGATAGTCTACTTGGTTTCAGGCATCTGTTATTACTTTCTATCATTACACTTAATACCCTCCTTATTTCCCAGGGTGAAGAAGCTATTATGTACCTTTCACTTACTTGGCTGTCACTTGGCATTATGCATTATCTGCCCCTTTCCTTATTGAATGAATTAAATATGTTTATGAAAGAGATATTCACCTGCACGTACACAGAATTTTAAGCAAAGTGCCTTCACATTTATAGTTCAGTTCTATGAAAAATAAGTCACTGTGTTTTTTAAAATGAAAACAGAAGCTATCTCAGGTTATTTATTTAAAAGTCTGCAGGCTATGAACAGATCATATATTGCCTACCACATACCAGAGCACCATTACAGAATCTTATTTTTTTAAAATATATATATATTACAGACTAGCCTGATACCCATGCTTCGCTATGGTACTTAAGCGCCATAAATCCAGTTATAATACTGATGACGCAAAGTTTGAAATGTGACATTTGTTGTAGGAATTCTAATGGAGAAGATTGTAGTGTAAGGAATTAAGTGAGACATACGTACTTCCCCCCCCCCTTCTACTGAAGAACCTCTCTGTAAACCACATTGGTGGTTCTGCCCTCAGGTGCTAGGATCACCAGCAATGCTCCCCCTAAGCTGTGGAGTCTTGTGAGGAAAAACTCTACTTTGTGAGCTACTGGCATGAAAGTTGTGAGTGAGCGATTTGGCTACTGCATAAATGTTTGCTCTGGAGCCATGCTTCCTGAGCCAAGACAAAAATGTATGAGCTAGAGGCGAAAAACTGTGAGCTAGCTCATACTAACCCAGTTTAGAGGGAACACTGATCACCAGGCTGCTTGGTGAGCTCACTCTGGAGCAGGCAACATAGAACTGTCCATTTAAGAAGCAGTCGTCTGTTAAGTCAACTCCTGCCACCTTCCACAAAAGTGATGGCATTTCTATTTGTGTTCCTGGATTGTTTTGCTCATATGGAGACTGTGTTGTTCTGAGCACCTCAGGGTAATCTCGCTGGTACTTGGTCTGTGCAGCTCAGTGCCTAGCAGGAGTACTATGTGCAAATGTCTTTGCTACATTCCTAAGTTGCCTCCTCCTTGTAGCGTTGGCGTATCTGGCTCAATGTTTGCCAGGAGCTTTCTTGGGGGCAGTAAGAGATGAGAGGTGTGAGGGGGAGTTGGTGTCAGGGGAGTGGTGATGTGGTGGACATTTCTTCAGGTTCATGAGGGAGGCATGCATCAAAAAGGCTCCTAGAAAGGTCCTCTACTATCTCCCCATGAACATTCATTAACTCAATTGCCATGCTGGCTTTTTTGAAAAATTTCTGTTCAGGAGTCTTGAATCACTGGTTTTTGTAACTTTCCTCAAATGTCTGCAGTCTCTTTTAACTGTGTTTTTACCTCAGAACATTGAGATCCAGGAGCACTCCCCTTATTTTGGGTTTCTTAGTCTATGGTGCAATGATGGTGGATGTCTTTCCCGAGGCTCAGGGAGGGCGCTCTGCACAGCAGCGGAGGGGAGGGGTGCCGCTGGATCGGCGCCTCCACGGGGGGTCAAAAAGGCCCCCCAGGCCATAGGGCTTTTGAGGGTGAGCCTCTTTTCCTGCTATCTGCAGGGGAATTGAGGCTGCCCTCCGCCCTGACGGTCCTCCCTGCTGTCTGCGTCCTCTTAGTGAGGCACAAGATGTGCCGACCCAGTCAAGCACAGGAGATCTGATGAAGAAGCGATTACGAGCACGGTTAAGAAACAATGAACTGTGAGATAAAATGAGCAAACCATAAACAGAAGTGTAAATCCCCCCCCTCCGAAACCTTTTGAGTGATTGGAATTCTGCTGAGAGGGACGCCTCTCGGACGCATTTGCATAAGCAGAGGAGGGAGGAGAGAGAGAGAGAGAGAGAATTGTAAACGGACACTTTGAAGAGAAAATCCCCCCCAAAAAAACCTCTTGAGTGACTGGAATCATGCGGAGCAAGGGAGACCTCTCTGACGCATTTAGATAAGCAGAGGAGGGAGAGAGAGAAAGAGACAATTGTAAATGGATACTTGGAAGCGAAAAGCTGTGGGAGATATCCATGAGTATTTAAGCGACTAAACAGCGTGTAAGCGATTTTCAGAGCAGGGGAGAAAACAATTTTATATTGGGATTAAAGTGTAAAAATGGTGGACACTCCAAAAAAGTCAGCGAAAACAACTCCGAGAAGAAGGGAAGTGAAAGTTATAGAACTCATAGCAGAAGCCACGAAGCCGATTCTTGAGCAACTTGTTGGTATTAACCATCAGCTTGCCAAGATAAATCAACAACTCGTGTCCCAGCAGCTGCAGTTGGAAACAATAGCAGAAAAGATGGAAAAGAGGACTGTCAAAGCAAAAGAGATGGACACTAAAACTAACAGCGATCTCAAAGAGACAAGGAGGAAAAGCATGAGAGAAACAGAAAAGATTTACAAGGACTTAACTCCTTCCCGGCAGAGTTGCAGAATTTCGAGTGAACATCTAAGAAGCTATCAAGACTTTAGAGAGAATTAGCATAGATGTAAAGGCGGAAGGACTCTGAAAATTGCCCTTATGAAGAGAGCTGGAGGAGATGCTCTGGAAATCTTCTCATAACAAGTAATAAACTAACACATAAGCTTAGAAAGACAGGATCTCACAAAGTATATTGTTTATTAACAGGTTTTTTTCATTACTAACTGCAGTCTAACAGGGTAATGATCTCCTACTCTTGGGTTTTTAGTTTAGTGTGGGTTACTTTTCTTTCTCCTTAGTTGTAGTTCCCCTTCCCTTCTTTTCTTTGTAGTTTATGTAGTATTATAAAAAAATTTAAAAAATCCCCTCCGGGGGTCTTTTAAAAAAAGAACATTGAGATCCACAGCTGAGCAATCAGAAGGAGGTGAGTGCAAGCAAGCAGGTTTTACCTCAGAACTCATAGGTACACAGTTGACCGGGGGGGGGGGCAAAGAGGCAACAGCCTGCCAGGCACATGGAAAACAATTGGGGGAACACATTTTGCCCCTTTTTAAACCCCCTTAGGGGTTGTGTTTCTCATAAATCTCTTCATAGTGGGGGCTGACGTCATGGTAGGAGTGCACTCCCCTTATTTTGGGTTTCTTAGTGCAGGGGTTTGGCCTGGGCATTGGATTGGGTGGGGCAGGGTGTATATATATGTGTGTGTGTGTGTGTGTGTGTGTGTATTTACAAAACTGCTTCTCATTTATGTTACATTTAAGAAGTGGGACATATACTACATATTCAAAACAACATACGAGCAATTAGATATTGAGCAAGTTCATATGAACCAATTTTCTAGAACCCATGTTGTGAGAAGTTAAATAACCTAATACAGGAAACCAATTTTCTATAAATTTGGGGTATATTTCCATAGTGGGTGGGAACTGGGCCAGTAGCAGCACTAAGGAAATCCTGCTAAGCAAGCCTCCCCTATGGCTTTAAGGACTCTGTGCCCCTTCCAACCCTTGACAGGCAGTTGTCTGTCAGGTGTAAGAGGGGTAGCATGTCTGAAAGCATTGGGAAGTCAGGGCCAGCAAGATTGCTAAGGGGATGCTGATTGGGCAGCCTCCCTAATGGATTTAAATGTTCTGGCCCTGCACCTGACAGACAACCGCCTGTCAGGTGAAGGAGGGGTGTGTGGGAGTTTGTCTAAAGTCACTGGGGAGGCTGGCCCAGCAGCATTGCTAAGGTGTTTCTACTCGGGCAGCCTCCCTGATGGATTAAAGTACCCTGGCCCTGCTCCTCCACCTGACAGACAGTCTGGTGTTGGGGGGGAGTGTGTTTAAAGGCATTTGTGAGGCTGGGTCAGCAGCAGCACTAAGGCAATCCTGCTGAGCAAGCCTCCCAGATGGCTGCAAGCATCCCACCCCCTCTCCTACACCTGACAGACATTCCTAATTCCGGTTGGCCATTCCTGATTTCCTCAACAGTCATTAGCTCTCTTCAGCCTCCTGTAACTGTTTTTTTTAACCTCAGAACACTGAGCTGTGCAGCTGACCAATCAGAGAGTGGGGGGTGCAAGGAGGCAGCCTGGCAGCCACATAGGAAGCAATGGGGGGAGCACATTTTTGTCCCCCTTAGGGGTCAAATTTCTAAAAATCCATTCTTAGTGAGCATCTACATCATGGTAGGAGCGCTTTCCCTGAATTTCTTGTTTCTAGGTCCAGGGGTTCGGCCTGGGTGTTGATTTTACAGTGGGGGGGTTTTCTTTTGTGTGTGTGTGTGTGTGTGTGTGTACAGGGTATTTTCAAAGCTGCGGTGTCTTTTTGTCAAACAGAGTAAGAGATTTTCCTAGACTGCTCCAGTTTAGGCTACAGATGGGGAAGTCATAAGCTTAAATTATCTCTCCCCCACAATTTCCCTTTACTTGGAACAGTAGCATATCAGGGAATATTCTTCAGCCTAGCCTAGCCTTCTGTCCAATTTGCTGTTTCCCCAGAAGCAGGAAGCTTACTCCATAGTGAATATTCAAAAATGCACCACCTACGTGGTCCAGTCCATGACAAGCTTTACTATGTGGTTCACTTGAATGCATCGACTTGCTGAAATATTTGCACTACTTCTGTTCAGTATTAAACACAGCACACTCTGCTGATGATTTCAGATTATTCTAATACTAGGCACAAGGCCCGTTGCGGGAGGAGAGGCAACGAACCCTAGAGAGGGGCTGCCGGAGGGCCCTCCCCCATGCACTGGCAAAGAAAACCGAAGGGCTCCCTGGCGTCCAGGTTCGCGCCTCCCCTGCCATGCACTGGAGGCGGCGGGGCAAGCCAGCCTGCTTCGTCCCTCCTCTGTTGGCGCGCTGGAGGAGGTGGCTGCCAAAGGCAGCAGGCCTCGCCATTCCACAGCACCGTGCACTGGTGTGCCAAGCCAGGCAGGCTGGCCCCTTCCCCGCCCGCTCAAGGGCCCAGCATGCCAAGACAGCCGGCCTTGCCCCTCTCTCCACCGGCTGCCTGAGCAAGCGAGCGGCACACGTAGTGGTGGAGCAGCAGCGAGTGAGGGATGGCTGCTCGCCGCCCATTCCAGCCACGTGCACGCCAAGCCAGCTAGCCTCATCCCTCCCCTCACCCCCCCCCCAGCTAATGGCACGCCAGTTGCCCTGAGTGGAAGCTGGCGAGCCAATGGCTGAGGCATTTCCTCTCGCCACCCCATAGGCCGGCGGCCACCCCAAATCCCTTTTATAATAAGGAGAGATACTCACCTACTGCTATGCCAGGATCTGAGTTAGCAGTCTGTACTAGTTCTTTGCCTTGGTGACGAATGACCCAATTTGGATCAATCTGAGCTGTTCCCTTAGGATCCAGGGGGACCATTTGGAACTTTCTGAAATCAGTCTCACTAATGGCATCATTTTCAGGACATACATCATGGATATCAGGGACTCTGTCATTGTCAAAATCATCTTTGCAGATATCACCTCTGCCATCACCTATGATACAAGTTAAAATAAATACAAACATACTATTGTTTAAGGTTATCTTCACAACTGTCCCTCTCTTTAGGAAGAAGCATCAGTCTCCAGAAATAATTATGCAAATTTACAGTGTATATCATGCATTTAATGCTGCACCTGGAGTGCACACTAAAAAATCTAGACACTGGGGCCAGGTACAGACTGGAATAATGTTTGGACAAACCTAGTCAGAGCTGACAGAACAAATACTGTTAATTCAGCATAGGGGTGCTAGGTTCCTTGGGAGCTGGTTGGGGGCAGGGCCTGGGAGGGGAAAGCATCAATGGTGCTTTGATATCACCTACGGGTGAAGAACTGGAATTCATGTAACTGCCCCCTCCCCAATGCCCTCCTCCGATATGAGCCCCGGAGGACACTGAGGTCCACAGATCAACATCTTCTAGCAGTCCCTGGCCCCAGGGATGTCCAAATAGCCTCAACCAGGGCCAGGGCTTTTTCAGCCCTGGCCCCCACCTGGTGGAATGAGCTTGCAAGATGGAGCTCTTCCACCAGGCCTTTGGTTGAGGCAGTGGACATCCCTCTTCCCTCCTGGCTATCTCCCCTCTAGTGTCCTGGATCCCAATGATGGAGTACTGCTGAATTTTAAATAATCTGATTGACATCAGAACTAACTTGTTTGCATATTATTTTATGGTTTTAATGGTTGTTTTAATGTTGTTACATTGAGATAGTTGTAAACTGCCCTGAGCCCGTCTGTGGGGAGGGCAATATATAAATCAAATTAATTAATTAGAGATTTGGTCACCTGAAAGCAAAATCAAAACGCCAGTGGCAATGAATCCCCCCATTTTCCTCCTCTAGGAATTCCCAAACTCTGTTGAAAATATCATAGATATTTGGTGAGTTCTTAGATCATTATGAGGTGGCAGCTACTTCCCTTCCGGGTCTTCACCTGGAAGTGACATCAAAACACTAGCAGTGATGTATTCTCCCCCCTGTTCCTACCGCTGCTCAGTGGAGCAAGAGCGGCCAATGGACAGCTGGAGCAAGTTGATCGTACTCACCGGCGGGGGAGCATCGCGGGGGTCCGGGAGCTGCTGCTGGATGCGCGCGCGCCGCCAGAACATCACAGAACGTGACGCACGACGTAAAGCATGTTGGGGGTGTGGCACTGATCGTTGGAGGGAAAACCATAGAGTTTTCCCTCCAACGATTGGGGCCACGCCCCCAACGTGGTCTACGTGGTTGCGTCACTTCCTGTGACGCAGCCATGCTGCGCTTCGGGGGGCGGGGTTCCCCCCCCGGGGCCCGATTCCGCGGCGGCAGAAATCGGAATCCAAGGCGGCCGTTCACCCCCCCCCCCGCCCCCACTTGGCAGCCCTAAAAGCAGGAGATCCCCCACCCTCAGTGGGCTACTGGCAACCCTAATTCACCAGCCATACTACTCTCTGAAGAAACTAGAATTAAATTATGCTGGTGAAAAATGGCTTGCTTTCCAGAGGAGTAAAAATGCATATTAGAGCCATTTTGCCAAGCCTTAAAGGAGTACAACTGTAATGTATCAGGTGTACCCCAAGAGAAAGAGACAGGCTGGTGACTTAAAAAGCCCTTCACAGTTTCATTAATAAATAGCTACAACTTCCAGAATAAGAGCCAGATTAAAGAAAACATGTTTTGATGCAAAGCATGGGAAGGCTCTTGTACAGTGTAACCATACAAAAATACAGGAAAAACAGCATGCATCAGACCCTGTCACCATCTTCCTGTGCATACAAGCAATTGTGGTGATTTTGGAAAGCATAAACCAGAGGGACTTGTTGGAATCTACTAGAAAAGGTAGCCAATATTACAAAAGCAGGTAGAGGAGACTTTTCCAGTCCGGAAATATTTTCACGATATGAACCAAATCCATCTGGTTGCATTATATACTGAAATATAGTGGTGAGCTACACTTGTTGTTGTTGTTTTTTTCTTCAATAAGTGTTTTTTATTTTGAACAATATATACAACAGTACATTCATAACATATATTGACGCTATGCAATAATCAACTTTCTCATCCCTTAAGAGCCCTTTTAAAAATATAACAGATCTTTGTAATAAGAGTTGTGTGGAATCACTTCTTCTTCTGCTAGATAGTTCACCACGGGGAACCAAGTTGCTTGAAAACTTTTTTGGTGAGAGACAATTTTACCATATATAAAGCTACACTTGTTTTAAAGGAGCTGCGGTGGCTCAAGTGGTTAAGACGCTGAACTGCAGGCTGTGGAAGGTCTGTAGTTCAGCAGTTCGAGACCCGGGTGCCTCATGACGGAGTGAGCTCCCATCTCTAGTTCCAGCTCCTGCCAACCTAGCAGTTCGAAAGCAAGACATTGCAAGTAGATAAATAGGTACCACTTCAGTGGGAAGGTAACAGCGTTCCGTGCCCCTTGGTGTTTAGTCATGCCGGCCACATGACCACGGAAACGTCTTCAGACAGCGCTGGCTCTTCGGCTTTGAAACGGAGATGAGCACCGCAACCCTAGAGTCGGATTCGACTGGCTTTTGAGCAAGGGAACCTTTACCTTTACCTTTTACACTTGTTTTAAAGACAAGAGATGTTACCGGGGTGGTTTGCCATTGTCTGCCTCTGTGTCATGACCCTGGTACTCCTCGGAGGTCTCCCATCCAAATAGTAGCCAGGGTTGACCCTGCTTAGCTTCCAAGATCTGATGGGATCAAGCTAGCCTGGCTATCCAGGTCAGGGATTATTTTTCATTTGTTATCTGAATGCAGTATGTTGTCATTTCACTTGTCCCATGGTGACTGCTGGATGCCTTGTGACCACTAATCTACTTGAGCTGAATATGAAGAGAAATATTTGAAAAGCAATATCGGTAATATCTCAGCTGCACATGAGCAAAAAGTAAAAGTTGCTGAGAAAAACAACTGATAATCCTATCCGTCATATCCTAATAAGGCTGGATAACAAGCTCTGAGTGCTACAGAGCTTAGTATTAAAGAGGAGCTTTGGAATTTTTAAATTACAAATTATATCTTTGTGTCATCAGATGCCTTCAGCAACATTCTTTCATGAAATGCTTAAGACTGTGGCCATGTATTTTTGTCAGTATCGTAAGAGGGAATTACAGTAAATCATACAAAAATAGCTTTTGGCTTCACATTCTTTTTATGGGGAAAATTGTTTACTTTGCAGGAAAATAGCAGTAATAAACTATGAGTTGAAAATAACCACTCTTTTGAACCTTGGAATGTGGTTGTAATCTCCATTGATTAATGGGTTATCTATGGCACAGCTCCCAGTGAACAGAGGCTGCAACCAACAAATCCCAGTTAAAGAAATGTTCTTTGTGTTGAAGGTAATGCAGTAAATGATTTAAACACCACTGCTCTTAATGTCCTATTTAAAATGGCTCTGACTGAAGACTGCTTAGGCTGAAGAACTGTAGCTCTTAAGCAGGGAGCTGCTGCAACAAGCTCGCAAGAGAAAAAGCTGTCCAGTTGTCCCAGGTCACCTTTTCACTTGGTGGCCTTAAGCAAGCCTGCCTCCCTTAACTCCCCACTCCTACAATACCTTACAGAACTGTTGCAGCAGGGCAGCCAACTCTGAGTTGGGAAATTCCTGGAGATTTGGGGTACATCCTGGGGATGGCAGAGTCTGAGGAGGGGAGGAATGTGATGCCATAGAGTCCACCAGGGCTTTTTGTTTTGTAGAAAATGCCCAGCAGGAACTCATTAGCATAAGAGGCCACACCCAACAGCAGAAACTCATTAGCATATTAGACCACACCCCTGACAGTGCAGCTCATTCGCATATTAAGCCACACCCCATGCTTTCCCCTTGCCTTGCCCAGGCACCCCACACAGCTGCAGGGAGCCCAGGCAAGCCCCCCCTTGAAGGGAAGGGAAGGCAGTTTAAACTGCCTTCCCTTGGCTTGCCTGGGCGCCCCATGGCTGCAGGGTGCCCGGGCAAGCCGGCCCTTGGACAGGCCGGGGAAGGCATAGGGAGGCATTTAAATGCCTCCCCGATCCAGCCCCCCCCCCAGCCCTCTGTAGCCACGCACACAGAGGTTTTGGCTGTAGTGGGCATGGCCAACTCTGAAGCCAGCCGGAACTCCGTTCCTGTGCGTTCCTGCCCAAAAATAGCCATTTTCTCCAGGAGAAGTGATCTCCACAGTCTGGAGATCAATTGTAATTCCAGAAGTTCACCAGGCCCCAACTGGAGGTTAGCAACCTTTGTTGCATGCAGATTACAAAATGCAGTCTGTGAAATGCTTTCAGTGCTGCAAGTGTACTATGAAAGTTAAGTATTGTTCAGTGTCAGAGAACTGAACTGAAATTTCACAGTCGTGATTTCTGTCTTCTCATTCTGCAGGCTCACTGTATTTTCACAGGAACACCCCACACACATTCTATGAGTTTTCCCAAGGCTTTTTACTTTGCTAGAAGAGTGTGAGCTTGTGGGGAGGGCAAGCTCAATAAGCCTTTTCCAACTGATTACCACCCTTCCTCCCAGTTTGGCAACAATAGTGGGAGAAAACCCACATGGCCCCAGTATTTATAGACAGACTGCAGCACAGGACCATACCATAGCAACACAACTCCCATACATTTGTTGTAAGCCGTCCTGAGCTCTACTTGTAGGGAAGGGTGGCCTAGTACATCCAATTTAATAAATAAATAAAAATAAATAAAATAAATATACTGTCAATGCATAGCTAAGGACTGAAAAGAGAATAAGGAGATTACCATGATAGCCGTTTCCACATGAGTGCATAATTCTTACATGTCCTATTACCAACAGTCCACATTAATTTCTCTTATCAAAAAAAGTCTATATGTTTCAGAAGCATGTTCCCTTACCACAAGATTTAATTTTTAAGGACAGACTTTGTTATGTAATAGCTAAAAAAATCAAATAAAAAAAATCAAAGAGGAGACAGTCAAACACCTCAAATGTTTTCTGCAGTTCATTTCTGTGAGAAAATGGCTCCACATTCCATTCACTGATTGGAATGCAGCCAAGCTGAAATACAAATTCTGACCAGCTGCATGATCCAGAATGTGTTTCTCCTAACACTTAAGGGGAATAGTGAATGTTCCCAGTTTTATTCCCTTTGCCAACATCAAAGTAGTAATTTCTTTGTCCAAATAAGGCTTTAATTATCTAGCACACATGTTGTGGATGCTCCTTCTGCAGGCAAGGCTGCCTTTCCTTCAAGACACAACAAAGGCAATTGTCCTACCCACCATATTTGCAAGCTCTGTGGAGGCCTGCTACCTCAAAGTTGGTTCTTCATGCCTGTTCTATTTCTTGACAGTCCTTCCTGTTCTAGATTTAATATTTATTTACTGTAGCTTTTATCCTACCCTTTTTTCAAGGAACTTAGATGATATACAAAGTCACCAGCTCTGGCTTGGGGAATTTCCTAGTGCTTTGGGAGGTGGTGCCTAGTGTTTGAGGAGAGGAAAGAATTCAGTGAGGATGTGATGCCATACAAGTCTGCACTCCTAACCTACCACTTCCTCCAAGAGAATTGATACCGGCAGTCTGGAGATCAACTGTAAATCTGGAAGAACCTGAGGCCCAACCTGGAGGCTGGCAACCCTACGTGGCTCTCCCTGATCCACATAATAACCACCCTATAAGCTAGACAGAGAGAAAATAACTAGTCATGATTACCTAGAGAGTTCCATGACAAAGTGGGGATATGAACCTGGGTTGCTCCAGGCAAAGTCTTACACTCTGACCACCACACAAAACTGCCTCAATAATTACTCTGTGGTAAATCCCTGAGGTAACTTCACAAATCTAACAGAGAAGAGATATTTACTCCAGCTCCGTATGCTTGGAGACTCATAGGCAGAACTGGGTTTGCTTGGGTATTAAATGTAGTGCTTTGCTGTGGCTCAGCTGATCTGTGGGCTTTCTTGATTTCAAAGCACAAAGGCCTCAGCTTCAATAAAAATAAGAGCTATTTAGTGAGAGAGGTCCTGCCTGGATATCCACTTGGAAATTTCAGCAGAAAAGTGCATTTGTTTGTACCTCTGATTCAACACCTGAATAGGGGCTGAATGTATTCCTCTGTTACTTCCTATGCTACCAACTTCATCATCCTCAAGCTACAGTTCCTTCCAGAGTTGATTAGGCCTAGTTTTCTGTACATATGATTGGCTTCCTAATATTGAAACGACAATACTCAATTAGTGATATTGCTCATCTGAACAAAACCTTCTGAATGTGTTGTCCTGCAAATGGGTAAGATCAACAACTTCCCATATTTGGGGATTCTCTATTTGCGGCTTCAACCTGGTTAAATGGCCTGCCTGAGGGGTTATCATTCTGCAGATAAGTAAAAAGGAACTGTTCATAGGGGCATTTTTATAAAGGGAATAGGGTTGTAGTAAAATGAAATTGTTCAGGGGAGCACTTTTATATAAGAAATCTATTTCAAATTCCAGTGCTGTAAATTGTCTAATTCGTTTGGTGTAGTGGTTAAGTGCATGTACTGTAATCTGGGAGAACCGGGTTTGATTCTTCGTTTGGTGTAGTGGTTAAGTGCACGGACTGTAATCTGGGAGAACTGGGTTTGATTCCCCACTCCTCCACTTGCACCTGGCTGGATGACCTTGGGCAAGCCATAGTTTTGGCACAGCTGTTCTTGAAAAAGAACAGTTTCTGTCAGAGCTCTCTGAGCCTCACCTACCTCACAGGGTGTCTGTTGTGGGGAGGGGAAGGGAAAGGAGATTGTAAGCCGCTCTGAGACTCCTTTAGATAGTGAAGGGCGGGGTATAAATCCAATCTCTTCTTCTTCTATTGTTTTAAATTGTAATGGCCAATGGCTACACAATAAATTTTACTACTACTACTGCTACTACTACTAGAAATAGGGTTACAGTTTACTGCACTGTTTGTTGCATGTATTATCTTTTACATGCTCCTGTGCATTCCTTGGACAGCAAAGGTGACAAACATGCAGGTACTGAAGTGCATAAAACTAGAGAAGGAAACACTGCAACTGACATATTTCGACCATGTCTGTGGAAGAACTCACTAGAAAAACCAATTATGCTTGGATTGGTTAGCGGCAAAAGAAAACCTGGCCACCAAAGAACATGGTGGCTAAATACCATAAAAGTCGACAACAGCCTGAACATGAGACAACTCAAAGAAACAGTACAAGATCGGAAAACATGGAGAGGGCTGGCTGAATGGCTAACAACACCTTTTACTGCATTGTGTTCTAATTCTTCTAATCCAATCGTTGCATAGTTTGTAGTGTGTCTTACACTGGTAGCCCCCCCCCCTTTATAATTTTGTAATGTATATTGACTCTCAGCAAGGAAGCAACACTCTAAAGGAAGTAAATAAATATTTGTAGAGATACAAATTTCAGCATACTTTTAGGAGAGACCATATCTGACATCCCCATGTCTAAAAACATTTCCAAATTTGGATCCAACACTAAAGGCAAATCAGCACCTAAGCAGATTTCTCTATGGTATAAATAGGTCAAAATCAGGTTGGCTTTTTAATCCAGGTATTTGCTTTGATTTAGAGAACCTTCTTTATATTATTCACTGTTAAGTCTTGTTTAGGAGACCTCTGCAAATAATTACGTCTATGGGTTGCAACAGCTTTTAACACACATGAAAAACAAGTTTGGGCTTGGCTGTTGTGAAATATTCTTACCATCTGAATCCTTTTGGTCAGGATTGAACGTTAGGCGGCAGTTGTCTCGGTCATCTGGGATCCCATCATTGTCATCATCGGAATCACAAGCGTCCCCTTTACCATCCTTGTCATGATCAGCCTGATTGGCATTGGGAATGTAAGGACAGTTATCTTTGTTGTTCTGGTGACCATCTTCATCTATGTCCTCATTGTTGTCGCACTGGTCACCAACCAAGTCATTATCTATATCAGTCTAAAGGAAAGAAAACTAGAATGGGAATCTTGGTAATGGCACATCCCAAGTAATAATTATACAACAGTAGTGCCAGTAGTAGGGCTGCAGTGGCCCAGAGGTTAAGACGCTGAGCTGCAGACCAGAAGGTCTGTAGTTCAGCAGTTCGAGACCTGAGTGCCACATGACGGAGTGAGCTCCCGTCTCTGGTCCCAGCTCCTGCCAACCTAGCAGTTCAAAACCCAGAAACTGCAAGTAGATAAATAGGTACCACTTCAGTGGGAAGGTAACAGCGTTCCATGCACCTCGGCATCTAGTCATACTGGCCACATCTCCACGGAGATGAGCACGGCTCTTCGGCTTGGAAACAGAGATGAGCACCGCCCCCTAGAGTCAGATTCGGCTGGCTTTCGAGCAAGGGAAACCTTTACTTTTATGTAATGCCAGTAGTTGCACTGTTTGGTGAAGAAAATGTTTGGTGGAGAAAATTCTTAAAATCAGAAATAGTATGTTAAATTGCATATTAGGATTTATTTTTTAAAAAAAAATCCTAAATTACATTTTGCATCTTGGCTGTTGCTTCAGTTTTCTGGTTTGGAATCTTTTGGATTTCAAAACATAGTTACATTTGCCAGTGCTAAGGAGAGGTAAAGAAAAATAAAGGCTGGTTGTAATGTCTAGTAAATGACATGGGTAATTCTTCTTTATCTACAAGAGCCAGCATGGTGTAATGGTTAAGAATCGTGAACTCTAATCTGGAGAACCAGGTTTGATTCCCCACTCCTTCACATGAAGCCTGCTGGGTGACCTCGGGCCAGTCACAGTTCTTTCAGAACTCTCTCAGCCCCACCTACCTCACAAGGTGTTTCTTGTGGGGAGAGGAAGGGAAGGTGATTGGAAGCCTTTGAGACTCCTCAGGGTAGAGAAAAGTGGAGTATAAAAACCATTTTTTCTCTTCTTCATCATCTCTGCTTCACACAGGATTGAATAAAACAACCACTCCCAATGCAGAGATGCAGCAGACTTGACTGCCTATTGTGTTCTTCTGCATGAGTCACTGCAGTGAGTCTGTGATTCCAATAAGCAAGAATGCTCAGATTAGTACTGCATGCTGAGTTTGGTGTAGTGGTTAAGTGTGTGGACTCTAATCTGGGAGAACTGGTGTAACTATATGAACTTATGTTTGTATTTCTGTATAGTGGTGATGCTGTCTATGTGTGTCTATGCATTGTGTATTCAGGGACTGCTGTTTGGTTGTGTTGCTTTGTTCTGCATCTCATGCTTGCCTAGAGATAGGCTGGCCTGGGGCTGCCGTAGCACATACGGACCATGTGCTTCCCTGGAGAAGGTATCCCGTCCTGCATCGGGATAGAGGAGACACCGCGCCATTGCACCCACTTGGAGAGTTATGGAAAATCCCCCAGTGAACCCCGACATCACCGGATTGCCAGGAATCACGTAACCCTCTGCACCTAATCTGGTTTGGAGATCTGAAGACAATAGCATTTATGGCCTTGGAGCAGGCACCAGATCTGCAAGTCAAGAGGTGCCCATGGGAACGGAAGATTCACACCTCACCAAAAGGCACCTTTGATGTAGGGATAGGATCTGCATATTGCCACCACCCCTTAGTAGAGCGTCATCCCCTCGTCACCCCCTCTTCATCCAGTAGTGATAGTTTAGAGGACGGGTTTGATAGTTTATGGCTGGATAGCACATGCCCCAAAAAGAGTTTATTTAAGGAGAAACTCTCCTTTGTCTCTCTGGTTAACCCACCTTCCCCATAGCAGTGCACTAAGGTGCTACAAGTGACTCTACTACCTAAGTTCTCCGGGAGTCGCGACCCAGAGAGCTCACACGTGGTTTGGCTGGTCCTACCTGTGTGCCTTGGAGTTCACAAGCTGCTGCATTTCGGCTGCCCAGCGTTCCAAGGAGGAGAGTTCTTCCTCAGCTGGACCTCAGATGAGTATAGCCGTGCCCCATTGTGTCTTCCCCATTTTGATGCTTTTGTTATTTTCTATGCTGTAATTGTTCTGATGTACTATTGTAACTAAGGAGCTTGTATAACTGTGTGTGTGATTCTGATTTTGTATGACTGCAGAAACCTTTAGTAAAGACAACATTTATTCTTAATCCTAGCGTGTTGTCTCACTTCCTGGGATATAGCGAGCGTCTCATTGGCCATCTGACCTCTGTATAGACTGGTATAGAACTTACGCACAGCCACAACCACCCAACTTCCTTGGTAGATAACTTGGATTGGGTCTCCAGGAATTTCCTGGAGAAGTTGGCATAACACTGGGTCTGATTCCCCACTCCTCCACTTGCAGCTGCTGGATGACCTTGGGCAAGCCATAGCTCTGTCAGAGCTGTTCTCTGAAGGATAGTTCTGGAAAGAGCTCTCTCAGCCGCCCCTACCTCACAGGGTGTCTGTTGTGGGGAGGGGAAGGGAAAGGAGTTTGTAAACTGCTCTGAGACTCCAAGTGAAGGGCAGGGTATAAATTCAATCTCTTCTTATTATTATGGCAAGGGCCATGGCTCCATGGTAGAACACTGCATTTCAGAAGGCCCCAGGTTCAGTCGTCAGCATCTCCAGTTAAAGAATCCCGGGTTGCAGGTGCTGGGATTCTATGCTGAAGACTACAGTCTAACTGGAAGCAACTGAGCTATGTGGACCAAGGGTCTGATGCTGTATAAGCCTGTTTCGTGTGTCCTCTAGTTTTACTGTGTAAACTGAGAGGTGTTTGGGAAACAGGAAAGATGTTTCCTGCATGCAACAGAGGTTGGTTAAGGCCAAAAACCAGATCACTGGCTTGCTTGTATTTATTTTGTAGATCGGGGGGGGAGGGGAAGGATGATAGTTTAACATCTTTAATTAATAAAATCCCCTCCAACAAAATATTAACATTCCAAAAGATATATGACTAGCTCAGACCTACTTCTCTGGCACGGAGGCATTACTGCATGTGCTGTGTGGATATTTGACATAATACCCATTACAGCAATCTATGCTGCAATTGTTTTCACCATCCCAGTGCCAAGGCAGAAATCCCTTGACCTCCAGAGTTCTTGATTTTAGCCTTAGGCCCCCTTTATAAGATTTTACATATGAGACTGAGAAAAGCTGGACTTCTTCAGAGAAACTTGTCTTGCCCAGGCAACATTCTTTAGATATGAGTGGCTGCGATTGACCTCAGCAACATTCCCTTTTTATAAGTTCTGAGAAGCTGGCAGCAATAACTTTGCACAATTAGAAATTTCAAACCATTCACCCAAATCAAAGGCAAACATTTAGTGCTGGAGCTTTGCAAACTTGAAGACTGACTTTTTCATAGAACTATGTATTCAATTCACCGCAGACCAAGCACTTCCGTATTCGTATCTGCCTTTAATATAATTGTGCATTTGGTTCTGAGCAGAAAAATCTTAGTCCCATGTAAACTGGGCTGTTTCCCTCCCAGAACAGAATGCTGAATAAGTAGGGCACAGCACTAAGACTAGACTGAAAACTCCATTTCAATCTAGGACTTATGTTACTGATTTTAAATTGCCTGGTGGGCCAAACAACAACAATAAAAACCCAACACATACATAGTCTCCCACACACTCAGACACACATATGACTTGTTCCAGCCATGTGCAGAAGTCATGTGCTCCTCCACATTGACACCAGCTTGCTGAGGAAGTTTTTAGATCAGTTCTGCAGAAATCAATGCTATGGTGAGATTGCCAGAAAGATTTCATTTTCTAGAGAAAAATGAAAGATGTGTCTCTTTTGCCCTATCAGGGACAGTCCTGTCATTAGACAGGATGAGGAGGCCTGTCTATGAATTTTGCCTAAGAAGAGTACCATTCAAGGGTAGCAAATAGACAATTATTTCATTTGTTACTGTGTTTTACCAGCACAGGGGGGCCATTTGGATTTTTATGCCTCAGTCAACAAAATGTTTAGGTCCTGCCATGATAGTGACCAGGCATGGAGCTGCCACACTGGTGCATGTAAGTTGTTTTATGAGCAGAAGTGGGCAACAAAAGTTTTGTTCGGCAGTGTTCACATGTGCAAGATAATGCGGGGGGGGGAGTGAGGCTGTTTGCTCCGCAGGAATTTGACCCGCATTTGCGTGATCACACAGTTCCTGGAAGCTGCGGGGGCGGCCAGCCACTGTGTGATCACACGCAACTGCGGGAGAATCGGGGGGGTGGCCATGTATTTCTGATGCACTTCAATGAGGGATCGATGATTCGCATCTCCGCACCGAGGGCTTTTATGCATTGTGCGATGATGTGCATACCAAAACGGGGGGGGGGGAACAATGGCATGGAGTCAGGATGGCCTGATCAGACCATCCCGACACCATGGAAGTGTGCTGGCGTGATCACACTGGGGAAAGTCCGTTCCTGGCCTGTAGTATTTGCTACTGGGTTTTCCCCGGTGTCTTTTTACTCCGCTTCTGCAGTCGAGCAAAACAGGTTGCCGATGGGAGTGGGACGCTTGTTGCCATCTGATTGCGCCCTTAAAATCCGCCCAGCATTTGCGCCTATGGCGCGGCTAATTCTGTGTGTGATTGCGCTCTTCATTTACTTTTTCAACAAGAGTATTTGCTTTGGTATTGTGCTTACAAAATAGCAAAAACCCTTATTTCCTCTTCACAAATCACAGTTGAAAGATTTAAGCAAGAAACAGGGATTAAAAGAAAGAAGACTCTCACCAAAAGATGGCCAACACTCTTGCTGGCCTTGCACCATATCACACATGCATAAATACTATAAATGGTTCACTTGATGCCTCCTTTGGAAGGTGTTGTGCTTACAGTCATACATGACCAGATGGAATCGCTGTCTAGGCTGTTTCATTCATGTAAGTCTTCATGTGGAAGTTACTGAATGATGAACATACATGTGGAAACCCAACATCAGGCTGAAAGTAAACTAAGTAGAACTTGTCATTTTCTCTCACTTTCCTACGTCTTGAAATAGTTTATCAACCAATAAGTAAAGAAGGTAGATGCAGGGCCGGCTCGCTCAGTAGGTGAACTAGGCGTTTGCCTAGAGTGTGCCGGCCCTTAGGGGCGCCAAACTGCACCTGCCCCCTTGCCAAAAGCCCCCCCGCCAAAAGTCCTGCATTTCTGCGGCCGGGTGACCCCCGCCCGCCGCCTCTTTGGCTGGCTAACTTCTCCCTGCCTGCCCCCTTGGCTTCCCAGTGGAGTGCTTCTCCTCCTCCTCCTCCTCTTCCTCATGGCTGGGGACTGGCAGCTGCAGCAGCAGGGCTGGGGGAGCAACGGCTTGTGAGTGCCCCACTGGTCAGCCCTGGTGGGCACATGGGGGGGCGCAAGAAGGGATCCTCGCCTAGGGTGCAAAATAAGCTGGGGCCAGCCCTGGGTAGATGAGGGGAACACCAAGTATCTCTCAGATCTTCATTCCAACCTCCTTTCCTCCCTCATTACACTTGAGGCCTTGCAAAGGAGGTAGAGATGGGATCGCTGAGACAACCAAAAGCATACCTCAGACAGTGAGCTGTGTAGTAGTTTATCATATCTCTACAGGGTGTGTTCAATCCTTTCATTCAGTCCTAATTTACCTGATCAGGATTGTGCACCAGTGGACAGTTATCACAATGATCACCAACTCCATCCCCATCTGTATCTGTCTGGTCTGTGTTGTAGACATATGGGCAATTATCTCGTTCATTGAAAACATCTGTCAGGATGAAAAAGCAAATCCAATAAAATCATATGTTTAGATCCCACTTTTACAGTGCAACATTCACGAGTTTACAAGAAACTAGCAAAGAGACATCAATGATTTACTTCTTTTGCAAGACAATTATATTGCAGTTGCTTTGAGATCATAGAAGGAAGGAATGTAATAGAATGATAACCTTCTCACTACCCTGGTGTGATCTGGTCCATGGGGCCGCGAAGAGTCAGACTCGACTGTGCAACTGAACAACAAAAACATATCCTGTACCCTGAGATTAGAATACACACTGTCATAAACTTTCATTTGTTAGACATCATATCTTAAAAATGGATGAGCAAATCTTCAGTTTTAAGTATTTGAATTGGCAGTTGTACCTGTGTGGGTAGTATACCATGGGATGGCAATTCTACAATGGCACAGTGAATGCCATTCTCTTATATAGCTACTGCACAGTTCAGTGCTTATTAAATAGAGCACATTTGTCTTCCCTTTTACCCTGAAACTGCAGGCTCATTATAAATGGATATGGATCCATCATTTGGTCCCATGCTGGTTAAAATGCTTTTTGGATGACACATCAGTGAATCATTTTCCTATTCACTTTCTCAGTGGTTTCATGCTGACCAACTTTCAACCATACAAAGACTTCAGATTTGACATATTATCTGACAATGTTGGAAAGGCAAAATATAACCAACCTGTTTTATGACAATTCCACCACTTATTTAAAGGTCATGGCTTTACTTTTTAAAGCCCTATGCAGTTTGAGTATAGCAAATCTTGACTAATTTGAGATGATGGGATATACGTTTCTGAAGAAGTACATGTAAGTAAAGTACATCGAATGTTCATAAAAACTTCACACTAGGAGAAATATCCAAAACTTTTAGAGAGTCAACTGCTAGGCATAGCCAACATTTTAACTTGTTTACTGAACCAAATCCAAGGCTTAAGTGTTAATTTCTTCCCAGTGCTAAGAACTGAAATTAAGCTGCCAGGATATGCATCAGCAACATTCTTTCAAGGGACATTGATGCTTCTGCTTCCAAACTGCGCTCAAAACCACAAACCCTGAAGTATTAAAAAAAATAACACCAAAGATGTATGGGTTGGTAGATTTTTCAGGACTCAGCTACTGTTCAGGTCAGTTTTGCCAGTTTAATAGCCCTAAATACCACTATATAATTTACTGACATCCCCCCCCCCCTCTACAGCCAGAAGTATAATTTGGGAACTTCATTACTCTGGCACTCAAAAATAAATTTTCCTTCCCTCCACAAGGGTTTTTGGCAAATTGGTTTGGTGAAGACATTTGATTTGGCTGGCACATCATCTAGGCATACTTTAGGCAAGTCATTACCCAAGACTGTGGCTATTGCTCAACCATAATTATATTTTCATTCTTTATAAGATTATTCAAATAGATTAAATGAGTATTATAGTCTTACAAGAAAGGGGACCCGCGAAAATCGCGGGGGGAGGAGCGGGGGAGCTCCGCACACCTTGAATAAGCCTTTGTTGGGCTTAAAGGTGCCGCTGGAGTCAAAGGAACAGAAAGAAAAACATCACCTGGAGAAGTGAGGGGGGCCCCTCATCCCGCTCTTCACCCATCTGCTGAGAAGAACCTCGCCTTGGAGGGATGGTCGCCTCTGGCTTCCGGGAGGCAGCCGGGGAGGGTAGGTGTATTGCGAAATCCCCCCCCCCGCCGGGCATGTGCAGAGGCGGTTGAGGGACGCTCGTGCCCACCAGAGGCCTCTGGGCGAGCCCACCCTCTTCCCCCACCGCCAGCCGTGCTCTCTTCTGCCATGGGAAGGCGGCGGGGCGGCCTTTGCTTGACGACGCGAAGCAGAAGCCTCCGGGTGGGATCGGGGCTTCTAGCCGACAGACTGAGGGGAAGCTGCGGTGAGAGAGCGGCGGGCAGCCCCAGCCAGGCCCAGTTCGGCCCCCTGCCAGCGCTGCACCAAGCAGATAGGCGGCTGAGGAAGCGGCAGCTCTCTTGAGGTGAAACGGCCTCCTCCTCCCGCTCTTAGAGGCTCTGTGGCCTCTTTCGTCCCTCACGAGGGCCCCAGAGACGGCCATCTTCCTTCTTGAAAACCGGGTCCAGGAGGAATGACGGGACTCAGTCCTCATAGCGCGTCGCCTCGAGTCCGGCAGGGCCGCCGTTTGGCCTCCCTGCAACAGCCCTTTTCCCCCCAACCGAGACTGTTCGTAGAGCGTTCCCTGCGCACGCGCAGTGGATGCTCTTGGAGGGATTTTAATATCCCCCCGATAGTTTTTTACAGTTTTTAGATTTTTGTGCACACGTGGGGACCCCACGTGTGCACAAAACTCTCCCTCCCCCCCAGCTGCCCTCGGTGCGCGGATTTAGGTATCCGCACACCAGGGGGCGACTTCAGTATTAGATATATAGATAGAAAACCGCTCCCACCATAAGCCTTTGGTCACTATGGCTGCAATTCTAAGAATGTTTTCCTCGATATAAATCCTGATGAATAAAATGGGACTTACTTCTGAGTAAAGCTTCTCACTTACACTTGCTGAAGAAACCCTAATTCAAGTTCCTCTATTCAAGAATCACAGGAGAGGGGACATGAAGTCTTTTCTGTATATCCCACAACTTGATGGGATATGTTCCTGAGCAAGTTACAACAGAGTCCAAGTCTGCAGCTTTTATGACCTCATGTAAAATACTACTCTTAAACATTTCCTTCTCGGAAGATTCTGGATGTTGGTTAGTTTTATGGGTTTTAATTGGACTGAGCTTTGTATATTTTCCATTGAGATGTTTTTATTACTTTAATATTGTTTTGTATTTGGAGATGTGCTTCTCCATTTGTTAGTCACCTTAGGTTTACATAGAAAAACAGGATGTAGATTCCTAAGGAAATAAAAATGAATCTAAAAAAATGTTGGAATGGTTATAAAACCAGAAATAGTCTTCAGAAACTTGGTTTTAAAAAAATGGGCACAACAAAGCTTAATGAAATCCTTTTAAGTCTCACTGATTTCATTGGAAATGATTTAAGCATACATTTAACTCTTCCATTGAAATTAATGGGGTTTGAAAAATGCACAGCTTTGGCTCAATCATGAGCATTTCTTGCAATTATTTAATACATATGGCTGAAATGTCCGTATATAACTATGGTCAACAGTGTACGGTGAGAAGTGCAAGACATTGCTTGGAATGGGATGCACATTCTAGTGTGAACTTAAATGTGAATCTCTACTTGCATTCTTTCACTACTAGTTACACAATTAACAGGTTGTGTATAACTACAGCTAGATCAGGACAACTTTGTCATTTGCATAATAAACAAGCACAACAATATTACAAAGTATTATAATATTACTTGTGTTAGTTCAGTGGCCAGCGCGATCCTAAGCAAATCTTAGGGCTGGGCAATATATAATTTGAGTACACAAATCAAAGACTTGGGATGGCTGCATTCAATACAGAGATAAATGAGATTTGAAAGTATCTATTTTTCAGATTGTACTCGTACGTTTCCTTTTTCAAACACACGCATGAAATGTTGGCCTATAACATCATATTGTTTGGGGGTAAGTTATTCCCAATGGAAAATCAAAATTTATTGTGAATCTGTTGCTGCAATGCTGAATAAATATAGGAAAATGAATAAATATACCATCTCCATCAATATCCACTGCGCATGCATCGCCCTCTCCATTATTATTGGTATCAATCTGAGCAGGATTATGCACATAAGGGCAGTTATCACAGCGGTCACCAACTTCATCCTTGTCATAATCAAATTGACGGGGATTGAAAAGAAGAGGACAATTGTCCTAAAAAGAGAAACAAGATTAAATAAAAGTTATAAAAGGTATACAAGTAGAGTTCAAAAGCTATTATACTATAATAAGAATTTTTCCCGTCTATACATCAATTCCACTTCAGAATGGTGTTTCCATTGGGATTTTCAAATGAGCCTCATACTGATGCTAATAATAATACTCAATGAGGCATACTAAGTGAGGCAAACAACCTGGTAGATGAATATAATAACTCATCTTAGCCTCATCAGAAACAACCTGGTAGATGAATATAATAACTCATCTTAGCCTCATCAGAAATAAACTTTTCCTCAGACGAATACAACACAGACCTAAAACCAACCCAGACCCATGGAGTGTTCCATTCTCTTCACATGTTACGATTAATGCCTGTACACCCTGCATTCACGTGTGTACATCTGTTTGTAAGAAAGAGCCAATGCAATTGGAATAAGGGACTAGTACCCGCATAAAGGTGGGGTTTGTATCACACATTCAGCTGTACACACATTGAACGTAACTCAACACATGTATTTTTTAAAAAATCAAGAATACACTGTAAATGAATTGTACATGTATTTACTGCAATTTGGATTTTTAATTTTTTTAATATGAGCATGCTTCTGTGTGTGCATCTGGGAGTCATGGCGACCTCTGGTGACTGACCCCTACTGGGGACCTGGAGGATATTCAGAGAGGTGGCTGAATAAAGCCTGCCCCTGCCTCCCGCCTCTGGTATTTCAAGAAGGTCTCCCATCCAATTACTTGCCAGAGTTGACCCTGCTTAGCTTCTGAGATCTGATGAGATCAGGCTTGCCTGGCCTATCCAGATGAGAGTTATTTACTGCAATTTGTGAATGGGGCTTTTGAGAAACTGTATTGATGCCAAATGTCAAGACTAGAACATTCATGGCCCCCTGTAAAAGAAGTGTAGTAACCTGAGCTGTCCAGAACAAAAACTGTATTTCCTATCCACCATATCTTCTTTCCTCTTAAGAACAGATACAGAGGATTTATGTGGATCAGGTCTGTAACACTCAGTTGAATTTTTCCTCATTCTACCATTTCCCTGATTTTTAAAAAATGCCCTATCTCCAGATGCTTTAAACTTTGACAGATTGTGCCTGCCTTTTCTTCCCATCTGGAATTACAGCACATGAGGAAGGGGACCCTTTCAACTGGGAAAAGTGTGCACAGCAGAACAGGCTTTTATCTTTTCTTTTTGTAACTCTTCTCCAGTGCTAATATTGGGCCTAGTGACTGCTTTTGGCCACTGCATTACACGTGGATCCACTAGATGCCCAGGGCCACATAGGCGTAATCTTCGTGGGGGCGGCGGGGCTTCAGCCCCCGCCGAAATTTTCAGGAAGGTACTCAGCCTCCCCCGGGAGCCACCCTTGCTCCTAGCAAAGCAATGCCTCTGGCCCAGCCCCAGCCCCCCCCGGGAAATTGGAAAGTCTACACCCTTGCAGGGCCACATGTAGTTTGATCCTTAAAGAAATCAGAACATGCATAGATACTGGCAACTTTAAGTTGCTGTCCATATGTGTGTGTGTTTTCTGAACAGAAGAGGTCTTACTGAAGGAAAAGAGCTTACCTTATCATCCTCTACACCATCATTGTCATCATCCTCATCACAGGCATCACCTTTTCCATCTTTATCAAAGTCTTCTTGCCCAGAATTAGGCAGAAGAGGACAGTTATCCTGTACACACAAAACAATGCCATTCTGTTTATAAGAGTTTCAGACATTAGTTAAGCACACATACACCCCACAAGAGAGTCTAGAAGTTCATAATCAGACTCTGAAGCCATGTCTAGAGACTGAACATCCGATTGCATGTGTAATCAATTTTCATCCAGTTTTAGTTGGTAATGGAAGGCAATCTTTGGTTTGCCTATATAATATTGTTAACACTGGCATGGTATGTAATGATGGTTACCACCTGACAATTTTGTTAGGTTGTTAAAAAAAAGGCATTTAACTCTATTAAATCCACATATGTATTACAAAAATAATAGGCTGGGATTTTGGGAAGAGTCTTTTCTAAATGGATTCAACATGTTAGGTTCTTCATAAAAGCAGATCTTGCATATGGCTTCTGGAGTCAAATGAAGTATGTCCTGATGACAGGAGCAACGGGGGGGGGGGGGGGAAAAAAAAAAAAAAAATGCTGAGTTGGCCATATTAACTAACTAGCAAGCAGACATCAGCCAATGCTGAAACACTTCAGTGTTTGAATTTTACATTCATGAACAGAGATATTATTCCTAGTTCCTATAGTTTTATTAAGTCACATCCTATTTTCAAATTACAAACATGTCTCTTTGTCCCTGAAGTTTAATTTATGGCACAGAAACCCTCTATAGAAAGAACAATTAGGAATAAAACTTTTTGAAATGAGGAATATCTTTTTTATAAAAAATAAATAGGTTACATTTTGTGGAGAACTCTAGGCCTCGGTATGAGAAGGGATCAATCTTTGGAATAACAAGCATTGGTTACACTGTATGTTATGAAACTTTCTAGAACAGAGTATCCACTCAGTGGAACAGATATGATCTGCAATAAACTGAATTTTAGAGTTACTTTGTGATTTTCAAGCACAGTTCATTCATCTTTCAAAATATTGAATGCCTTGCCTTCTATATTGTTCCTACCATCTTAATCTGTGCTCCTATGCACACTTATTTAGGAATAACCTAAGTTGAACTACAGTGGAAATAACTTCCAAGTAAATGTGCATAGGTTTGGATAGTCAGTTTCCACCATGAAATATTATTCTCCCTTGTTGTTTAGAAGACAACATGTCTCCTTCATGCAAAGCTGCAATGATTAATCAGAACAAACCATGAATTTTATGCATGTGACCCCAATGGAAATAAGTTTTGTTCTGCATGTAAAAATTCGCTTTCAGCATTTTCAATATGGATACTGAAATAAACCATATCTGTCCCGAACAGCTGATGGGACAGCCCAATTATTTGGAACATGAGAATGATATAAAATATATCATTTACTTTTACCCAGAAATACTTGGGAGGAGCATAAAGTAAATTCACATATTCAGTAGGCCAGGATAAGCATAGGCAGCCATGTTAGTCTGTTGTATTTTCATAATTCCAGATAGGTAACCATGGCCCTGGTCACACGGAGCATTAGCCACGCTACAGAGACGGAAGATAGGTGGATTTTCCAGGCATGATCACACCGCCACATCTGGGAAGCGTAGAGCTCCCATGGTGAACCCAAGGCTTCCCGCCGAAGATGCAGGGTAAGGGCGGGCGCCCTGATCGCGTTTCCGGTGGAATCCCGTGGCATCCGGCGCCCGCCCATGTTCAGTCGCAAAGAAGGGTTTTTTTGTTTTTTTAAGTCTCCACAGGATGCGCACAAGCACCCAACGGTGCAAGCGCATACTTGGGTTTTTTTAAAAAAAATCCCCGTTTGCCACGGCAGTGCCGCTTCTTTGCCGCATCATCTGATCGGCACCTCCCCGGGCTCCCCCCCAACCACCGGACGTCGGCGGGATGTGTGATCCCGTGGCCGCGCGGTAGTTCCCTCCAGGGCAAACAGCCATGCCCCCCCCCCGCGATATCTGGCCCGTGTGACCGGGGCCCATATTAGTTTGTAGGAGCAAAACAAAACAAGAGAGTCAGTACAAAAATCAATGATTCCTACCAAATGTGGTACCAGCAATTATCTCACAGTTATACATTCAGTTCTGTTTGATGGTCCTCAAGAAGACTTTAACAATAACATAGGCCAAGAATGTATTCCTACCAGTGTTTTAGGCGTTTGTCACCAGACAATAAGAGAGTAACTGAGCCAGTGAAATAGTTTGCTCATCATTCTTTCTATCAATAGAAATTAATAAATGGCTCATCCAGGTTGGCAGTCAGCGACTGACTCCTTTAGTTACCATCCATTAAGTCATTAATGATTTTGCCATGATCTCTTCTTACTTACTTTTATGCAGTGATAAGTAGCATTGGCAGCACAGACCAGGTTATTATTGGGCCATCCATCAAGATCCGAATCTTCACCACAGATGAATCCATCTCCAGCATAGCCTATCAGACATTCACATTTGTATACAGGATCACTGAAATGTCCCAAGTAGATACACTCGGCAGATCTGTGGCAGTTGTGTGTCTTATCTTTGCAAGGGTTTGCAGGTTCACATACCTGAAAAAGTAGTTCACAAAGATTCACACTATGCTTCAGTAAGAATTTAAAGGTATTTTTTTTAAAAAGCCCCCAAACTGGATTATGCTAAGTAAACTGCAGGGCAGGACCCCATATGAAATGTACAGAAGGCTGTTCTGATGCAGCAGACCGCTTTTTCTCCCTTTCAATGAACATACTTGAAACACCAGCAACATTTCCCTTGAGGCTTATGAAATGTGATCAAGCAAGTGCTACTATGGCTTGATTTTACAAGCTTCTGTACAACTGCCTTTCAGAAATGAAAACACATTTTGCAAATTTGGTTGGAGGGAAGTATATGTGATAAAAAAGTCATTCAGAAGATTTTTAAACACTTAGAGGAAGTGAGCAGAGACACAAATGTGAGTCAATAACTGTGTCTGAACAAAAACTGAGTTTCCAAAAGTTGCATATTAGGCTTGTATGCCTTTTGACCCCATCAAGCCAAATGCATCCCAACAGTCAACTGTACCCCACCAGAAGCTCGAGAAACTTCCTGTTCTTGCTGCCTATTGCAGCAACAAAACAGCTGAGTTGACAAACACACAGCAGATCAATTCAGTTTGGGTGATGGGCTACTCTCAGTTGGAATTTGTCCTATAACTTTAATAATAATAATAATAATAATAATAATAATAATAATAATAATAATAATAATAATAACAACAACAACAACAACAACAACAACAATAATAACAACAACAACTTTTGATTTATTAATCACTCAATCCTGCAGAGCTGCTGGCTCTGAGCGATTTACAGTTACACATATTCACAAGGGACTAACAATGATTCATAGGGGGTAAGGGAGGACAACATATAATCTTTTTAAATCGCACATGTTTGCAGCCGATGGGGATTTTGTTCAGCTGTAGACTTATAGTCTTATTGAAACTTCTTTGGCAAAAGAACAATTTCCCAAGCAACACAGAAGCCTTTCAGGGCAGTCTATGGTTGCCATCCTCCAGGTGGGTCCTGGAGTTCTCCCAGAATTACAATGGATTTCCAGACTACAGAGATCAGTTCCCCTGGAGAAAATGGTAGCTTCAGAGGGACTTTATGGAATCACATCCCTGCTAATCTTCCCCCTTCCAAACTTTGCCTTTCCAAGGCTCCACCCCCAAATGTCTGGGAATTTCCCAAGCCAGAGTTGGCAACCCTACAGCAATCCCAAACAACTACCACCCTTCTAAACTTATTGACTTTAATGGGTTTAGAAGGGTATGACTGTGCATAAAGCTGCATTGTTTGTTAAGCAAAACTGATATATGTATTATTGTTTATGTTCTATGATCATGCTGTATATACTCATATACCTGCAGGAAGACAGAAACTGAAAGGCCTTTTTTTTTTTCATCAGATTTTGGGACTGACATGGCACTCTCTCCCTACACCATGCTCTCTCTATACCAGATGCATCACATTTTCCATTTTGTTATGCGCCACTGGCCTTCTTTCAACAACACTTACTTGCTTTTCTTTCTTGGCAGCCTCAAGGCCCACCCCATAAGGCTGAGTTCCTTTGTAGCGTGGAGGGCATGGCAAGCAATGGAATCCTGGATTTGTGTTTACACAACGGTGGTTCTGGTTTAATTTAAAGCAAATGTCTGGCACTACCACACACTGCCAAGAAAACAAGCAGAAAGATTTACTGAGTTATCTCATTGGGAAACCTCCAACAATGACAATGGGAGGGGTCAAAGACGTATTTCCACACAAACTGAAACCTCGTGTACCTCATCCAGGTCCTCACAGAATGTTCCATTTCCAAGGTAACCAGCAGGACATGGGCCACAGGACCAAGAACCATCAGGGTAACTGTTGCATTCTGCTCCAGGAAAGCAAGGATTTGACAAACATCCGTCTGCCAAAAGCATACAAAACAGTATCAGTGGTGTCCACACTAAACCAATCCTGTTTGAAGGCAGGTATAAAGAAGAAAAAACTAATTCCTTAAAAAGTGGTAGAACAACAATTGACCATACTACTTAACAAAACTCCCCTCCCCCTATTTTTGTTTGCAGGCTACTCTAAACAGTTGGCTGTACTGACGATTATTATGAGTATACTTGTTATGAAATATACAATGCAACATGGTCAGGTAGGAATGCACAGCAATGATGAAACTCACTTCTATTGAACTATATTACTGGTCCATCTAACCCAGTGCTGTCGACTTCTATTGGTAGCAACTCTCTATGGTTTCAGGCAGAGGACATGCTCAAGATCTTGAACCTGGGACCTTCTGCATGCAAATCATGTACTGAGCTATGGCCCCTCCGAAAACTTTGGTCTGGTCCTATTAAGAAGCTTAGCAGATCTGCAGGGTTCATATGTACAAGTGTGGACATATTCCTATAAATGAACAGGTGTGAAAAGATTAACAAACTATCTAGTACCTTCCCATACACACCTATTGGGCAATCCTGTTTGTTGCACATATCATATTGCATGACATCTCCCACACATGCCTTTCCACCATACTGAGGTTTTGGACTGTTGCAGAGGCGAGACCTTTCTCGAATCCCTCCTCCACATGTAACTGTACAAGCAGACCATGGAGACCAAGGGCCCCATCGACCATTGACTGGAATAAGGCAAACACAAGAAATTAGGTAATACAGCACAGACAACAATCGAGTACCAGTACAGTGATCACATGCACTGGTTCAATTACTTGATCTCAAGATGTAATTGCAAGTGTTCACTGCATCAGTAGGAGTGCAAATCCTTTTTCTTGACTTGTTAAGTCTTTGCATACACTCAACAGAATGTGCCCAATGGGAAGCTATTGCTATACCTATTTGAGCCAGTATTCACAGCCTACTTATTCAGAGTAATAATATTCAGTGGGTAATTTAGACTGACTGAATTGTGGATTGTGACCTTTGTCATTCTCTAGAACTAGAAAACTAGAACATCATCCAAGATGACAATCCAGATGGATAGTTCTGTTAGCCTACTGCAGCAGAATAAAACAGGAATCTGGTGGCACCCTATTCTCACACAAGCCTTTATGAGTCAGAGCTTCCTGCTTCTCACAAAAGCTTATGTGGGAATAAATACTGGTAGTCTTGAAGGTGCCACCAGACTCTACCATCATCCAAAGTAGTGAAAACTGGAGTAATGGTGTGGTCAGATGAGCCCTTTTATCCATTGTTGTCACTGCTCACCAATGGATTTAAATTGCTTGTTCAGACATCATCAGTCCCCTGTGCTGACCCACAACTTTCCCGAAACCAGATAAAGTCCGGCATTTACTGAACCTACCGGTTTCACCATGCGTATCCAAATATCTGATCACTCTGTTGCATGCTCAAACTGTTAGGGAAGTCTGAAGCTTCTGTTCCATGGCCACCATTTTTTACTCAGTTAGCATAAGTACATATTCACACCTGGGTTGTGAATCACCACCCAATGGCAGATAAGCACTTCTACACATGCGTAAAAAGGATTAAAAAAAAAAAAGATGCCTCCCAAGGGCCTTACTGCAGCTGTAGTCTGAGCAGTCAACCATGGGGTGAGTGTGCCATGGGGCAGGATAAGGGTGGCATGTTTGGATGAAACTCTCTGGAACAAATAGTACCAGATAAATTAGAGGTGCAGCCAGACTGTACCAGGTTCTGTCATCTGACTGCAGCCTGGCTTTCCCGAAGGAAAATTTTAAAGTAGAAAGCACATTTTCTCCTAAATTAACTTAAAGCAGATCATCTAGACAAAATAGGAATATGTTCAAAGTGTACTGCTAAAGTTATGTTGTGTAAAAAAAAACCAAAAAACCACCACAGTCTCTGTACCCTTGCATTAGAAACACAAAGTACCAACACAAAATCTGAACGCTGTCATTTTCATGGAAAATATTTCCTTCCTCACTCCCTTCAGCTCGAAATCTTTTGGAAATATCTCCAACTGTTTGGGCTACAGTTTGGGTCCCTCTTTAATTACTTCAGTGTAATAAATAAGTATGATGGATGGGACACAGCAGAGAAGAGCATTCTGCTCTCTTCACAGAATTCTCTTTCATGCACGTATTGCTAAACCCCAGCCACGAAAGCAATCTCTGACACAAAGACTTCTGTGGAGGAGCTAGGAGCACAACAAGACAAAACTAGCCCAGCAATCCAAATATAGCATATTTCTGTAGTCTGTTGATAGCCTTAATGAGCAACAAATATTCTGAAAGGGCCCTCTTTGAAATGTGAGTGTTAAAGCCCCTTGCAGGTGGCTCAAGCAGTACTTTCACTGCTGGCGGTTTCTGTTACCATAAATGCCATTTGGTCTACGCTTTTTAAAAAATTTCAAGTTGGCAGTTGGAGGGCTTGATGGCAATTCTCATCGGGCCCCAGGAGCCTCCAACTGCTGACACAGAGGGAATGGGAAAAGGATACATTTGCTTAATCTGATGAATGCTAACATCCAAGGTGTTGCCCTGTCAGAAGACAAAGCATTTGTAGCTTAGACATTCAGACCAACAACTTACTTGGACATGGGACTCCTTCACATTCTTTTGTTTCCCGGCCACTGCCTTTACAGCTTTTCCCACCCATCTGTGGGATCGGGGAGTTGCAGAGTCGTATGCGAGTTATATTGCCTATTCCACAGCTCACGGAACAGGAAGACCAAGGGGACCAATGGCTCCAGCCACCATCCTGACGTACTGGCCAGAGGAAAAAAATAATGGTACCCAATTTTAGATTATCTATCTCAACAACAATTTATCTCCTCTGAATGGTCCCAATTCTATAAGTGGATTTAACAAGGTTTTTTTCCCCCTATTGAACCGAAGGCTCATGAATACATATCTTCTGTACACAAATATGGTAACATTATCCTTAATTCCTGTAGTGTGTTTTTCAAATGTATGTTGCACCGTTATTATTATTATTTATTTTCCTTGTTTAGCTACTTCACTGTATATATGTTTTAATATACTACTACTACTACTACTACTACTACTACTACTACTACTACTACTACTACTACTACTATTATTTTATATATATTAGATACCGGTTAAAAAAAGAGTCCAAGCCCTGGCCCCCACATTCTCAAAAGTTCTGAGGGAAACCCCCTTTAGAGGTCTACCAGGTACTAAAAGAATTATATTCATTTGCAGTGTTAAATCCTATTCTATAACCACTAAGGGCTGTTTTGACAAACATCTTTGTCTGTAGCAGTCACAGTTAGTGGTTAGCACATCCTGACTTGGAGAGGAAGAGGAAGAAGAGTTTTTATACCCAACTTTCTCTACCGTAAGGAGTCTCAAAGCAGTTTACAATCACATTCCCTTCCTCTCCCCACAACAGACACCAGGTGAGGTAGGTGGGGCTGACAGAGTTCTGATAGAATTGTGACTGGCCCAAGGTCACCCACTGGGCTTCAGCTGGAGGAGAGGGCAATCAAACCCAGTTCTTCAGATTAGTCTGCCACTCTTAACCACTACACCACACTGGCACTAAGACCAGGACTTGGGAGACCTGGTTTCAAATTTCAAGCTAATGTTAACACTGTATCTGTCATTGTCTCTCAGCCTAGCCTTCCTCCAGGGTGGTTATGAGGGTAAAATGGAACAAGAGAAGCTAGGCTTACCAAACGCCGGCGGGGGAAATCTATTTCCTGGCAGGATGCGTGCCGCGGGGGACGGCTGTGCGCGCTGCACCCGCCGTCGCCAGCCCATGCATGCTACACTGAGTTTTGGTTTCTTTTCTTTACTCTTTGGGTTTTTTTTGGTGGGAGTAGGGTTCCCAGACCCCCGTTCCATGTGAGGGATCCCCCAATTTGGGGGGCTTTTGCTGGCCAGCAAGGAAAGCCCCCCCCCAATAGCAACACTATGTGGCAACATCCGCAAAAGGATGACATCATGTGGAAGTGACGTCATGGTGTTGGTGATGTTGCATGTGACATCATCATGCTGGGGACATCACTGTCCACTCCCAGACCACCCCCCAAATCCTCCCACTGGTGCAACGATTGCACCTGGCAACCCTAGGGGACAGAATAAGTAGGATAAAATGTTATAAGGTCTGTTCACAGGTTACTGTGCTGGGGCAGTTTTTGTGCCAGCCCATTTTTTAAAAATAATACACAAGACTTTTATTGACCTCAAGCTGGACCATTTTGCAGTCCAGCCAATGAACTGGCTTCCCCTCCCCGTTGAAGATTTTTACCAGAAGCTGGCCCATCCACCCTCCCTTCCTGGGGGCTCGTCACCTTTTGGGTGTCAAGCAGGAATTTAGGAGCCTCTTTCAAACTAGCAGGGAATGGAACTTTCCCCCCTTGTTCCATGTTGTTCGGGGGAGGGGTTGACTATATTAAGATCTGGTCTTTTCTACGAAGGCTACAATAAACAAAGGCAATGAATAGGGTTGCTGGCTCTGGATTGGAAAATACCTGAAGATTTTGGAGGTGGAGTCTGAGGAGAGCAGGGTTTGGGGAAAGGAGGAACCTCATCAGGTATAATAAAAGAGTCCACCCTCCAAAGCAGCCATTTTCTTCAGGGGATTTGATCTTGATCGTCTGGAGATCAGCTGTAATACCTGGAAGCTATCAAGCCTAGCAATGAATGTGTTTGCCCAAAACACTTGTAGCCATTCTAGGTTGCCTTCAGCAAAAAAAAACACACTAAATGTTAGTGCAGTGGTTTTGTTGATGCAGATTGGCCATTCATAAAACATTTTAATCCATATATTTGGTGTCTTCGGTCTCCTTTTTGGGTGCTGATACAAACAGATACCTTTAAGCAGTGTTAGCCCATGGGAAGGCAATAATCTGTTTGCTGCTCTCATGTGCTGATTTCAGTTAAATAGGCCTTTTACCGGGCCACACAAAAGCTCCAGTATCGGATCACACAGAGCAATACCTGTGACACCTGCCAGTGTTATGTGATTCATCCATTTTTACTGTAGAAAAATGGGACAACTCCAAAATAATTCAGGTCATAGCTTAACATCTGGTGAAGTTAACAGGGTTGTCAACTCTTGGAAATTCCTGGAGATTTGGGGGTGCAGCCTGAGAGGGTGGAGTTAGGGGCGGGGAGGGAGCTGAGCAGGGACATGATGCCATAAGTGTTCACCTTCCAAAGCTGCCATTTTCTCCAGGGGAAATGACCTCTGTAGTCTGAAGATCAATTGTAATGCTGGGGAATCTCCAAGCAGACTGGCAGCACTGGAGGTTAATGAGTTACCTGAGTTTTCTCCAATCGGGATACAATTATTTCACATATAAAACTGAATTCCCAGATTTCTTTTGTTTCTAACCGGAAGCAAAGGATGAGCTGCAATGAAAATGGGGGAAATTATAGCACTCACTGCGATTGTCACATTTGCCAGTGGAACAGATTCTGGTTTGAATGGATGGGCCTCGGCAAGTGTTGCTGGTGACATCACATGACCTTCCTCGCTGCTGGGTTCCAGAACCACAAGTGACAGAACATTCTGTCCACTCAGACCATGGAGACCAGCCCTCTTCACTGTCATCAGCTACAGATCAGAAGAAGAAAAAAAGACACTGCCTTGTTATGTATTTGTAAGTGGGAGCCTGATAAAATACAGATCCAGACAGAGATCCCAACTGTGGATGGATCAATTGAGTCTCAGCTCCCCAGAACTTTAGTTTTCTTAAGCCTCTTGCAGTCAAAAGCATTGGACAGCCAGAAACAAGCATCCAGATATTTATATATTGATGTATTAATGTATTACTTGTATAGCACCATCAATGTGTACAGCCTGTTTGGTCTTCAGCTCTCCCAAGCTCTGGACTCTAAAGGCTTGTAAAATGTCCCATCTGACATATATTCCCAACATGGAAAATTTACCATGTTGGATCCCAGCAAGCATTTCCATGGGCAGTAGGGAAAATTTTTTTCCTGCTTCTGTAACACACCTCCCACCAGAAGCCTGATATGCCTCTCAAAAAGCTATTATGGGGTATCCCCCAGGAACAAGATTTTGGGAGACATTTCAGGCTCCCTTGGGAAGGGGAAGGCAGGAAAACTGTAATTCCAGAGTGGACTATCCTTCTGCCTGTGGATCTAAGCCAACATATTTGACAGAAAGACAGTTTTCAAACCTGATTGCTGATATAATTGTTTGGACCCTCAAATTTGTTCAGCTAGTGGAAGCCGCCCTGAGCCTGCTTTGCGGGGAGGACGGGGTATAAATCTGATAAATAAATAAATAAATAAATAAATAGTGGCAGACCTCTCCTTAAGAAGTCTTCTGCTAACACAAAAGCTCCTAACATTGGCAGTGTTCCTTGTGCTGGAGGAAGGTAGTACCATTATTGAATGAATCCACAGGCTCCAGCCCATATTTTCCACATGGAGTGTGATTTTTCACATAGGGGCACGTGCAGACAATCCCCCTTGTAAAAACTGAGATGGAAACTTCTGGTGTGAAGATTGTATCACCCCAGATCACAGGTTTGAATTGGACCTGAGGTTAGTGTTAATCCACCCATAATACACTCCGTTTCTACAAGGCCCAAGGACTGCTTTCCTTCTACCGCTTCCCATTTTTTCTCCCTACTTCATAATCCTTCTCTATACTTTGAGAAACGTTCAACAACTGAAGAGAACAATAAATGAGATATTTTCTGAAGACATTAAAGGGGGTTAATATATTAACAGCCACGCAGATAGCTGGTAATGTAACATCAGCACAGGAAGTCTGGTGAGTGCCAGCAGTAGGGTTGCCATCCCCCCGATGGGGGCACGAGTTTACCCACTTTGGGGGGGCACTCTGCCTCTCCTCAGCTGGCTGGTGGGGGAGCCCCACCCCCAAGCAGCCCCATCCGCACTGATGTTCCCAGCATGATGACATCACCCAGAGGTAATGTCATCGCACAGGGCGCATTGCGGTTGGGATGCTCTAGCATCTGAGAAAAAACTCTATTGTAACCATAGAGTTTTTCTCAAATGCTAGAGTGTCCTCCTGCAACGTGCCCTGTGACATGACATCAACTCTGGGTGACACTGCAGCATGCATGCGCCAAAGACTCCAGGACAGTGGGCTGGAGCCCGCCGCCAGCAACAGGTAGGGACCTGACAACCCTAGCCAGCAGCAGCTTGGGACTGCCCTTATAAGCACTGCTTGAAGCATTGTGCAGGAATGTATGAGTTAGTAACTCTCCACAATACAGATTTTTAATATACGTCATCTTATATATCATACTTACGGTAAGAGCAGACAGGACAACACTCGCCATCAATAAATAATGGGCTGACACAGTGCACTGCTGGGCATGTGATTTTATGACATATTGTCTTAGAGTCCTACATTCAAAGGAAACAAAAATATAACTATTGTTTAGAAATTAGGCCAACTGAACACCTCACCTTTGAGAAGACTTTTAGTCTAACCCGCCCCCCCCCCAAAAAAAATCTGCATATCACACAAATTTTGTTTGACCACATAAGGTTCACATTCAGAGTTGGGATGGACTTCTACTTCCAGCTCTGCTCTGGGTGCCAATGCCCAGATGGCCAGCTCCTACCACACTACCACTGACTAGTGGGGCCACACCCACTCTGGCGAATGGGGGCACTGGCCAAGAGGTGTCCCACAGTCCAACCAGTCACTACTGGAAGGGCTTCCAGCTCAGTAGGGGATGACAAATGAGCTCTCCTCTCCCATAGCTGTACTAGTGTACTAGTGCACCATTAAGGTTATGCCACTAAGAAAGAATACACTTGTGCAACACTGTTGAGGAAAAACAAGGAAGAGCTCTGAATGTTGGAGGCAAAGGACACAAAAGCAGAAGACTCTACCCAGAAGAGATGTTCATACACAGAGGTGGGCTATCTGGAGCTCCTTACCATCCCAGAGTTAGCATGTCATGGTAATTGCAGTGGTACAGGAAAGAACAACCATAGGTCTGTTGAATCAAATTGCCCTGGAAGGCTAACAAAAGCAATCATGATCACTGCCTTATCATATGCAAGTTCTCATCCCCTCTTATGGACACACACTGCTTGGGATAGCTTAGCATGCTATGAGCATTTGAAATGGCAAAGCTTCCAGATGATCATCCCAGTTTGGAAATATCCTATTGCATGCAGTGGAGCAACTCCTAATAAATGTGTTCAGGACTACAACCTATATCTGTAACCAGGCTCAGTCTCAAAGCCCAACAGTTGGAAGCTTTCTCAAAAAGCTCATTAGTGCTCCTTACTTCACATTGGATGCTGATGCAAAGTTAATAAGCCACCTGACCCAAACCAGGGTGTATGAGTTTATGAATTTAAACTGGTCACATATGTGTTAATACCTCACCTGGCAGGTACACTTTGTGCAGCTGTCCACGACCCACTGTGCATTATTTGCAAATTCACGTCCATCTTGCCAGCAAGCTGACTGGTTCCTGAGTGTTTTGTTGGGGCCAAGTAATTCCCACATGATTTCATTCTCCTTAGACTGTACAATGAAAGGGGGGGGGGGGAGAAACCACATCAGTAGAGGCAAGCTGACCTTTACACAATGCGCAAGCCAACAAGTGTGAAACTCTACCCTTCGACTATAAAGTTAAAATACTCAGAAAGGATACTTGTTTTAACCTAATAAGTGCTTTAGCCTAAAAGAATCAAACTACTCAGTTACTGTTTGTCCAGACCCAAATGTTTCATCAGCTAATTTTATAATCAGTGCTTGCCAAAATTACACAGATCTCAATGCACTTTACAATTCTTTTTTTCCTTCTAACAATCTTCCTTAGAATGGAAGATGATCTCACTCTTGGGACACACATTAGAGTACTTCAGATCTTTTTCAAATGTATGAACTTGACCCATGACACAGAAGGAAGCAAGCAATCAATCCAGGAGCAAGTAATAACAAACAAGGAACATTCATTTACTCCTAAATAACATATCAATATGCATATGCATTGCATAATAATCAGTATATATGTGTATTTATATTTATACAGAGAGAGAGATTAAGGCAGCACAGTGCATTAGGTACTACAAGGGATGTGCATTAGCATCAAAACCCAGATTTGAAATTCAGATTCCAAATCAGGAGCCTTCAAATTCAGAATTTGGAAATTAGAAAATACAAAATTTCTGAATATTCATTAGTCAGTAGGAACAACCATTTTCCACTTCAAAAAAGCAAAACACTTTTTAAAAAAGGTTTTCCTCTGCCCTCTGACATTTCCCCAATACCTACGTAGGGTTGCCATTTTCCAGTTTGGGGCAGGTGATCCTCTGGCTTTGTGGGCTTCTGTAAGAAATCCCCCCCCCCAAACAGCGATGTCGCCAGAAATAAATGTGACGTGCCTACATCACCCAGAAGTGACGTAGGCACGTTGGTGATGTCAGGGGAAGCAACACACTGGTTTTCAGGCAAAACTCTATGGTCTGAGGCTGATTTTACCATAGAGTTTTGTCCAAAAACCAGAGTGTCACCCCCAATGTCACCAGTGTGCCTATGTCACTTCCAGGTCACATAGGCATGTTGCGCAACATGACTTCCAGCTCCCAGAATGTCCCCCATCCCCCCACCAGTATTTCCAACTGACCTGGCAACCCTATACCTATGCTAACCCCAAAGAGTTAAAAGGATGTGGCAAGTGCACACAGCAGCAGCCATTTTTGCCAGGTAGCAATACCAACATTAAGAAATTACTACAATCTGGACTTCTTATCATGGTAAAAGTACACCACCACCACCAATGAGGGAACATTGTGTTTGTCTGTTTGTGGAATGTTTCAGTTTCTTGCAAGTAGCCTAGCCTGCTTTTTACAGGAGTCAATGGAGTCCTATTATTTCAAATATCCAGAACTATAAAACTTGGATTCACAATTGTTCTTAACTATTTTGAATATAGCATTACTTGGTGCTTCTGAATATTTCTGAATCTGAAGTTCATATCCCTAGTTATTACACACAACATACAAATACTCTGATAATTATCTGCTGAGGACCTTTGCATTGATCCCTAATTCCATCCACACCAATAATGTAGTATTGGCAAATAATGCTGTTGTTGGTAAGCTGGGTGTTCCCATCCTTCTGCTAACTGCTATGATACAGTTACTTTTGCCCTGCAACAAGGGTAACTATACCTCATGTTTGCAGTGGAGACAGAGGTTGCACCAGTGCCACAGGTGCCTGGACTGTAGTTTTACCATAACCTTCCAGCCTATGACTGTGCCCTCATTTCCCACCCCAACCTAGACTTATCGTTTCAAATGTCTCTGCATGTTTTTTGTCCTTACCCATCTTTTTTGCCAAGAGGGTGTGTGTTCATTAATTTGGCTGTCTCCCATGATAATGTATTGCCCTCACAGCAAGGCTTTTCCTGCTCTTTCGTTACATCACTTGACTTGGATAATGAGAAAAAATGACTATGGGATTTCTGGGAAGTCAGGAAAAGCCACAGTAACATGATGGCAGCTCAGAACCCTTTTGCAGCTGAGGCACAATCTCCAAATGGCATCTATTTAAAAATATACTAACAATTTAAATGACTGACAATACGCAGCCAAAATCTATTTCCTGAGGCAACAGTCTGCTTTATAGCATGGCCAAGCCATGGATGACATCATAAGTAATATATCATCCCACCATTCTCTGCCCTTTACAGACCATTTCACAAAGGGCTTCAGGTCATTTCTGAAATGTGGATGGGTCTCATTGGTGGTGACCAGTTCATAACCAAACAAAAGGGTTAGAACTACGCTCTTGGCTCATGATTCTGGCTTTTACAAATCTTCTAAAACTATTCCTGCAAAACAGTGTCTGAACATTTGAGGCCTACCTACCACTTTTTGTAGATTTTCTGTTAAGCCATTGACAACGATACGCAGTCCAGTGAGTTCAGTAAACATAGATCCAAGCTCCTCACAAGAGCGATCACAGAACTCTGCCTTCTTCTCTGTCTTTTCACCAACATATTCTGTCATGATGGAAGGGTTAAGATGAAGAATTTCTGTGCTCTCATTGATGGTATTCACTTCAGCTGAAAAGAAAAGAGCAAACGAAGATCAGTTATGTATATGTAACAGCTTTTGTCCGACTATAACGTTGGACTCAAATTATATATTGGCATAATAGGTGGGTTTTAACTCTCTCTCTTTTGGAACATGTTTCATATCAAATTACACCCAAGAGTAAAAGAAAAGGATTGGATGCACCTTCTTCCCATTATAGTAATTCCTTTTCACAATTTGTATCCCAGCTCAAAAGCAGCCTGATTTGAAGCAACAGAAAACAATCCTTTAGGAAAACAACATAACATCAAGATATGCTAGGGCTGCCAGCCCCCAGGTACCAGCAGGGGTTCCACCACTTTAGAGGGCTTCAGCCCCCCGCCAACCAGCTGGCTGGTGGGGGAAACCCCACCTTTAAACAGTGACACCATCAACCTCAAGGCCCTCCATCTACGCCAGCTGCCGGGGTTTCCAATGCGGCAATGGGCAGCTGAGTCTGCAGCGGTAGTGCGGCCAGGCTTATCAGTGGTGACAGCAGGAGTTCGACTGCCCACAGCACATTGGAGTGCCATGGTGCTGGGCATCGTGTCTCTGGGCACTGTGTCTCTGTGCATGCTGCACCGACAGAGTTCCCCAGGGGAGCACTGCTGCCCAGCTCCTGGGCTGGAAGCAGCAGCAATACCAGGAAAAGAGGCCGGGACTGTCTCTTGAGGCATTAGAAGGAGGCTTTGTCAGTTTAGGGGGAGGCTGTCAATCACCGTTTGAGCCAGGGGAGGAGGGCTGGGCTGCTGGCACCAGATAGGTTTAGGGGTGGTCTGCACCAGGGTCTGCTGGCTCACAAGCAAGTGGAAGGGCACAATCAACCTATGATTCACATCCTTTTAAGACCAAGGGAGTAGTGGGAAGCTTACTCTGGGGCTGGGTTGTTCTTGGATTCCTTCATGCTCTCCTGCTTGCCAACCCAGAATGGAAGGACTGCATTGCGCACCCAGCATCCCTGACACAATGGCGTCACTTCTGGGTGATATTATCGCATCTCGCCCACCCCCGGAACACCCCCAAAATTCCCCTGCCACAACAAAAAGGGGACCTGGCAACCCTAAGATATACAATGCTCTTAACAAGAAGGTATCATTTTTAGTCCTAACTCCAGACTTTGTATTTATTGTGAAGAATGGACAGCTTCAAGCATGGACAGCTTCAAGAGGGAATTAGATAAGCATGTGGAGCAGACATCCATCAGTGGCTATTAGCCACAAGGAATAGATAGGAACTCTCGGTCTGGGGCAAGTGATGCTCTGCATTCTTGGTGGTTGGGGGGGGGGAACAGTGGGAGGGCTTCAAATGTTCTGCCCCCACTGCTGGACCTCCTGATGGCACCTGGTATTTTTGGCCACTGTGGGCATTGGCCTGATCCAACACTGGCTTCTCTTATGTTCTTATGTAAAAGGTTGGGCTGAAGCATTGACAATATTCTGGTGTCAGAATTAAAAAGTGTTGAAAATGTAAAGCTTTTGGTTTGATCAATTTCTTCTATAGGCTACATTTGTAACAGGAAAGCTAATTTACATATACTAATAAAATTATTTTAGAATTATATCTCTTCAAGGAAAGGCAATTATCCTGAACTAAATAAGTGACTGGAGTTGTTCTGGCAGGGACACTTATTTAACATCTTGTGTTTTCTCAAAAAATAGCTGTGAATTCTCAGTTATTGGAGATATTTTACACGGGCTGTGAGAACTAGGGCTGAACCTAAAGGTGGTGTTTTTTGTGGAAAAGAACACTCAGGTGGAGTAGTTTTGTTGGTCTGAAATAGTAGAACAAAGTTTGAGTCCAGTGACACCTTTAAGCCCAACAAAGTTTTATTCACAGTATATGCTTTCGTGTGCAAGCACACTTCTTCAGATACAGTGGAGCTGAACCCCCCTCAACCATTAGGAGGTGGAGGTTGTTGTGGGCCTGACAACAATGAAAGCTTATACCATGAATAAAACTTTGTTGGTCTTAAAGGTGCCACTGGACTCAAACTTTGTTCTGTAACACTCAGGATGGGTTTTGGGGTGTTGATACTGAAAACATAGCGAAGGGTGCATCAGCAACCAAAGAAGCAAAATGCAAACAAATTATTTGACTCCCCCTCTCCACAGTTTTCCCTTTCTCTGTTTAATCCTTACAAGAATCCTGTGAGGTAGGCTGAGAGTGTGACTACCAAAGGTCACTCAGTGAGCTTTCTGACTGTGAAGGGATCTGTCTCCCAAGTCCTAATCTAACACTCTCATTAAGACATTGACTCTCATAATTTACTGAAGCAGTTAAAAATAACGTATAGCCTTCTGAGATTTGCCTCATCAGTTATTGGCATGAAGACTGGTTCTGTCCTTCCAAATAAAGTGTTTGTTTAATCTGAATGAGGGTTTAGTTGGCTCTCCTTACTCGCAGTAATTTTGTCTCATAGCCAGATCTGATTGGCTAAATAGCATTGTGACATCATCTCATTCACTACAAGATCTCCAAAGGGCTGAGATCAAACACAGGAGGAGAAAAAATGGCACAAAAGCAGCAGCAGAGAGGGGAAACAATGATAACAATAGCCAGCCAAAGCTGAGGAAAATAAAGAATTAAGGATTTTCCCTCCCTTCAGGGACCGTTTCAGCTCTCCTCCAAAGCACTGTCCCCCCCGTTTAAATAATTGCATTTCAGAACATCTCTAGTCAAAGAAAAGTAAAATAAAATATTGCAGTGCTCCTATAATCTCTTGAAACAAACAGAACCCCATTTCACCTTCATAACTGGTTTCTTCTAGGGATTCCAGCCTCCAGGTGGGACCTGGGGATCCTCTGGAATTACAGCTCCTCTCCAGAAAACAGAGATGAGTTTCCCTGGAGAAAATGGATGCTCTGGAGGGTGGACTCTATGGCACAGAGCCCCCCCCCGACCCCCTCCCCACACTCCACCCCCAAATCTCCAGGAGTTTCCCAGCCTGGATCTGGCAACCCATTGCCCCCCCACAATCCCTCACCAGTGGCCAGGGGGGACCTGGCAATCCTAGTTCCTTCTGAACTGGATGGTCCTCTCAGCAAATGGTTCTCTGCAGAGGGCAATGTAGGTCTTGTAATTTTCTTGCCACTAAAGGTAAAGGTAAAGGTTCCCTTGCTCGAAAGTCAGTCGAGTCTGACTCTAGGGTTGCGGTGCTCATCTCCGTTTCAAAGCCGAAGAGCCAGTGCTGTCCGAAGACGTTTCCGTGGTCATGTGGCCGGCAGGACTAAACACCAAGGCGCACGGAACGCTGTTACCTTCCCACTGAAGTGGTACCTATTTATCTACTTGCAATTTCTTGCTTTCGAACTGCTAGGTTGGCAGGAGCTGGAACTAGAGACGGGAGCCAACTCCGTCATGCGGCGCACTTGGGTCTTGAACTGCTGAACTACCGACCTTCCACAGCCTGCAGTTCAGCGTCTTAACCACTTGAGCCACTAGCAGAGTGTTTTTGCTAAAAGACCAAGTACAATAAACAAAACCCTAATAGAATTTTGCATACACTTTCTACACTTACAAAAAAGGGGTTTTTTGTTTTCATAAAGCAGATCATTGAAAGATAAAACAAATTTCCCTCACATAGATTTAACGTTATAGACATCTGGAGATTCTGTACCATGTCTAAAAATAGGGCAATATGCATCAAATTTAGACACTCCATCATAACATCATACATCATAATACTTAGAGTGCTTCTCAACATGGCTAGTAGAAAGTGATCCTCTATTACGATTCTCAGAATGGCCAACTTCTATATACCCTGTTCTCCAGACAGTAGTTTGGGACTGGAAGTATTTTGCTGCACAAAGTGATTCCCACGTGGGCAGTCAGCCACCATAATAAAGCTGGTGCCATTTAGCCATAAATGTTTTGCAGCCACAGAAAATGTGCGCTCAGGTACACTGGCAGCATTACATATCAGATCCCAAATAAAGATCAAGCACCATTAAACAGAGTGGAATTTTCCAACTGAATACACATAGGACGAAACTCCACTCACAGAAGTGGGAATACCTGTATGTCTTACATTTTGAAAATGTTTTTCTACTCCGTATGAGAGAAACTTCAATTTGTATAACATTTGATATCGGCATGAGGAGCAGATTTGGCCAAAAGACTGTCTGATGCCCATTTTAAGTGTTGAATGTTTTTATGATGTTTTATATGTTTTTAATTATGGCATGGCGAATCACCTTGCCCTTGTTAGCTGCCCTGAGCTCACTGGGAAGGGCAGGATACAAATGTGAAAAATAAATAAATAAATAAATGTTATATTGTACTGCACATTTTTTTCACTAAAATTTATATTACTTAAGGAGGCACAAAAACAATTAAAGCTGCCAAATATTATTGTTGTTCATACTTTAACTTATTTACAGAAAGGTATATGGCTATAAAGCTTTTTCATTTGAGAATTGTTACAGTAGGAAGAATTACATAGCAGAGCTTGTGACTTAAAATCTAGTCATAAAAAAATAAATGTTTCTTCATTTGCCCCGAAACATTACTAATGATACTAAATGAAGGGGGGAGCTACCAATTCCAGTCTCCCTGGAGGTGCAGTGTCACATCTGGTGAGAATTAGGAGGGATGCCAATGTGTGGGGACAGTGCTTTAGCATCTGCCCAAAATTCTATGTTAAAACTCCCCCATATATTGATGTCACTTTCAGTTTGTGCCAATTTCCCCTCCATTCCTCAACTGGCCAGGAATAGGGGGAAATTACCATGAGCAGCAGGGAGACATAGGCAACATCGTCAGTGATGTGGTTATGCCACTTTCAGCATACATCAAAATCGACAACATCATGCTGTGATGTCATGGCGATGCTCTGGTGTTTGCACAAAAATCTCTATGGTAAAAATTGCTTCTGCCATAGAGTTTGCCCCCAAATATGAGAGGGTTGCCTATATGTTGCCAGCATGATGATGTCTCTTCTGGTGTGCACCAGAAGTGACATTGCCACATCAATGGTGATGCATTCTGGCCC